CCTGTGGTTTTTTTTAACACGGAGATTTATATTTTAAGCGAGTGTTAAGTTTTAATGAAAACTTGGAAATATTTTACGACTGGATAATTTTAACGTGTAATCACTTATAAATATTATGACATGAATTTGGGTAAAACTATGTATATAAATTACAAACTAGTAATCTATGCGTTGACACAGTTTTGACATCTAGAATAAACAATATTACCTATTACATTAGTATTATACATTGGTAACTTGTACGTTATGAATGTTTAGTCAGTAGATGAATACAAACGTTATTTATAAGTCCCATTTCCTATGTCTAGTACGACTATTTATATTATGTTTTTGTGAACCGATCCTAGAATTCAATTAATTGTACTAATGAAATCAACAAGACAGTAAATTGCTGAAACCAAAAATAGACCTCTATTTACTTTGCACCACAGAAAAACATTGAATAATGTATATGTTTTTTAGCAATACTCCCCTTGCTTTCATCCGTTCCACACACTCCTTTCCCCTCTCGTCAAACTATATATTAAACCTCAGCCAGAGAACGTTCTAAATAAAAAGTTAAAAAATTAAAATTAATAGATAAAAATAAATCAAACGTAACAAATTTCGCTTCGATGATGTAAAAATACAAGAATGTTAAAACAAATGTTTTGGCTTACCGAATAGTTCATTACATAAAACATTCCGTGTTTATAGTGTGTTCCTTAAAATTATATTTTTAATTTAACTTAACTTTTTTTAAAAAAATGACCTTAAAACGTATAATAGTTATTCTTTTTGATTCTTAATAAGTTTTATTTTAGTGGTAAATTATTTATTTATACGATGATTATAGCTGATAGTGTAATGAGCATCATTGCTATGCTATACAAATTGTATACTACTTCGTCTCAACAATCTAACGAAAAAAAAAAACAAATATTTCATTGTATTATCATATAGAAGTGCAAATAAAAAAAATATATATACTGAAATTCAATCTATGAAAGCAAACAATTAATAATTGACTGGTTTCAATTATTTTTTATTTTTTTATTTTATTTTATTATCGTTATTATTTGTAAAGTAAAAAAAAATAATGCCTCGCTGATGCTGACTGTGTGCAGTTTGTGCATTGATCGGTTCTCAATTAAAATAATAAACATTAAATATTGATGAACTCTATCAATATTGCCAGATATTATTGTTTAATATAGTATCAAGGCAAATTATATATTCTTTTTTTTTTCTATTTCAACGATTGGGCAGAGAAAAAATTATATGAATACAACAACGGCCCCACGTGTATGAATAGGATGATGAAATCGCTTTATTAATCAAACAAGTATAACTGTAAAGAACCCAAAGGGTATGCACAGCGAGTGTGAGTTGGTTTATTCATATTTATTGTTATTTTTTTTCTCGCGTTACTAATTACTATCCAATTAGGTGTGTTGAAAATTCTGAAGCACAGTAAATCGAAAACGAGGGTAGTTGAATATTTTAAAAATAACCCCGTGGAGGGCAAACATCGTTAGATGAAACTTTCTTTCTTCCGGCTACGTCTCATTAGTATTTTTTAATGATTAATAACATCAGCGTACACAAGCTACACGAACCAACGTTTGCTCCTGGCACACGCACCCATATTATCAAAAAGTTTATAATTACATATATTATGAATGTACAGCTCATAGAGAAATGAATATTGTACATGTATTTTGTTTTAGCGTCGACTGAGAGTATGACCTTTCGCGTTTCAAATGCTCTATTTGAATTTTTTTTCCTGCTATAGTTATTCTACAATGTCCCTATTATTATAATAGGGACAGTAAAACGTGTGTTATATTTACTTGGTAGGAAGTAGGAAAAGCGAATTACGACTTCCGGCCAAGTAAACTAAATTTCGATTTTTTCATGCTTGGGTTGATATGTCGACTGATTTTATATGTTGACAACGATGTATAATAAATATATTACATTACGGTATTTACTTGCAATTAGCTCCTATATTATACAACGTATTTTAAGGCTTATGTTGAAACACTTATTTTTTTTTTTACTTAGCTACCATTTACACTGAGCTAATGAAGTGTTTATGTTGGGATAAATACATACAGAAAAATGACTACATAATAATAATTTTTATACGTTTTATGTGGAGAAACATTCGCTATATTATTTGGTTTGTTTTAGTAATAGAGACTAGGCAAATATTTATTAAAAAGAAACATCAGTGTAGCATTATTGCATATTCAAAGCGCCGTCTGGTGAAAAAGTGCTTTGATATTTTTCTACTAGTGTCGGCTAATTTCTACATTTTTTAATCAAACACGTTTTTTTAAAATTTATTTCAGAAAACATAAACAGACATTTTAAAATAATATTAAATAAAATAATAAATAACGTTTTATAATCAATACCGATTTAAGTTAACAAAACAAGTGAAAAAAATAATTATTGTGTATTTTTTTGTTAGTTTTGGCAGTTCTAGAAATTTGTTGGAAATCAAATCTCACGTTTGTTAAATTATTCAAGTACAAATCAGTATACAATTACTCAAATGTTTAGAGTTCACACAATAGTTAAGCCATACTCACTGATATACCAAAAAACAATTTTATGATGCATATTTTAAATTTACATCAATAATAATGAAATATTGCAATGTCTGTACATCTAACTGTAATTGTATACTAAAAATACAATTTAAATCAGAAGTTTAATCAGTATTAATTTAGTGTTTAACTATGCAATATTAAATCGCAGTTGATTTAGTTCACATTCAATCACTATCAAATGGTACTTTCTATAATCCACAAAGGTTTAAACATTATAAGCTCAGCATTTTTACATTTTCATAACATCCTACTACATAAGTACTTATAAATAACTATAAAAAATTCAATTAGAAAATAATAATAATGGCTATTTAGTTATTTTCTTTAGTATGATAATTGGCAAAGTATCACAATGTTATCGTTAGTTATAAACCATGATTCGGTTAATGTGTACTATATTATAGTTTAATTATAATGTAAAGATAACTATTAATAATGTATCCTTAATGGTTCGCAAAAACATAAACGACAACGTCATGATGATAATTAGAGCGCTCCACACAGTACTTGAAAGGGTGAGAACGCAGTGTACAAAGGGTATGATTAACACAATTTATTTAATTGTCACAATATTAAACAAGTTTTATAAATTCAAAGATTAAAGTCTTTAATTCGTACGATTTTAGTATGTTATAATTTTATTGTCTTGTCCAGAGAATTAATTTTTAAATTACATATAAATAATATAATCATATTACAATATAATAATATAAAGAAATTTGGCACACGCTTTATTTGGGGATTACTAAATAGCCGTATAGACACTCAACATCCCAAAAGGCTCATAGACGATTACCGTCTATAACAAGGCTGCACAAATTTGTTTACTTGCTATAAGGTAGAACTAACCTTATGAGAAATTCACCCCTGACCAGAATGGTGCGTGATTGCAATAAATACCCGAGTACGTAGACCATATGTGTTGATCATATTTATTTATATTATTTTTTAGATTAAGAACTTACCCATACATTTTATTTACGTTAAATTTGTTCAATATTATGTATCAAAGGCGTTTGGCGTTAATCATGTAAAATAAATAAATAATTGTTTTATACTAAAATATTTACAACACTCAACCAGAACAGAAGAAAAATGCAAATTTCCTTTATTCTGGTATTTAGAATATTATTTATATATTTTCCAAAAAAATATAATTATAATGTTTATGGGAAATAAACATATAATTAAAAAAAGCTACAACTAAACTATAAGAGAGAACATTATTTACAATGAAAGGAGTATAAAATTATAATACCAAACGGATTCTAAGCAAACTTACAATATATATATATTTGGAATCATAGAATTAATAAGGACAAATTTTTGTTTAAAAACAATCTTTTGTATTCGATGATCGTGCTCCCTCACTTGGAAAGTTTAAGGAACGATGTTCTCCAAACAGCCTGTAAATTATTATTGGTATTTTGTTTATTTAATACTCAACCGATTTTAAAGTAAAACGCTAAAAGGTTTGTAGTATACTTTTGCATTTTTGCATTGTTCATTTCATTGCATATTCATAATATTTTCACTTAAAAATGCATTTGCATTTTATTGTTACTTGTAATAATTTAGAAAGTCATGGTTAAAGTCAAAATAATGTTATCAATAAATCTAACCGACTTAGTAAAATTTCAATATTATCATAACAAAAAACAGAACTTAATAAATATTTTAGTAGGTACCTAAAATTAATAAATTGAATAAAATGCTGAAATTTAAGAATGTAAAATTAAATAATTGTATTGTAATACTATGCACTACGGTAATATTAGCAATGTTGTGCGACTTGTATGATACAATAGCATTAATGCATTTGTATGATAGCAGAATATAAATTACTACATTAAGCTTCGGAATTATGGCGATTTTTTTTTATTATTAAACAATAGACACACACGTCGGTAGAGGTGATAAACATAACATTATTATATTGTATAATAATCATAATAATAATACAATTCGATAACGGCTCGAGGGTGTATTATACAGCGGCAGCAAACATATTTCATCTACTATACTATCTCTCAGGCAATAAAAGAGAGTCATAACTAACTACTACATTGTATTATATAAATGTAATGGTATTTATTTTCAGGAGGGATACGAATAATTATTTTCCAACCATTTTTTAACAAAAATGTGTTCTTGCATAACTGTTAACTTTATTATGTGTGATTACAGTAACCACAATAGAGTCTATAATATAAGTTTCTATGCAAATAATAATATGGTTAAGGTATTATGATATTATTATTACTAACGATAATTTGATCGTATTCATGATTAAATTTATGATTTTTTTACTGTTATTTTTTTAAAATATCTAAGTATTTTTAAATGAATTGGCTACATTTAACATTTTAGGAAGTTTGTAAATATACTTTAATTTTTCAGTGGCTACAGTTGACGGACCTTGGCTGAATATTTCAAAAGTAAACCGTTTACATATGGGCGCGTATTTGTGTATAGCTTCAAACGGTATTCCTCCATCCGTTAGCAAACGTATAATGTTAATCGTGCACTGTGAGTATGATATCGTATTTGCAAACACGATGTGAAAGAAAAAATGATATTAATAACACAATGGTGAATAATTTTGGTTTTATTTATGATTTTTTATTATTTGTTTTAGTCCCTCCAATGATATGGATACAGAATCAGTTGGTTGGAGTTCAAGAGGGCGATTCAGTTACTCTAGAATGTCACTCAGAGGCGTATCCAAAATCAATAGATTTCTGGACCAAAGATAAAACCACTATAATATCGAATGGTATGTCGTATAAAAACTTTTAAGATTACTTGTGTAATATATGTATTACGAGATCGGCCATTAGACCTAAAACACTAATTTTCATTTACTTAAATTTAAATAAGTATATTTAACTGTATACATCCATTTGTAAAAAAAATTGCTCGAGGATATTATTTAAATTAAATTTTCTAATAACTGTAATTGTATTTTTTATAAATTTATAGCACGCTATATTATACATTTTATAGTTATAAGTTGCGTGGTATTTTTATTGATTTTAAAAAGTAATTTATGCCAAAATTTAAATTAATTATAAAAAAAAACCTTCGTTATACCGTTTCTCATTTATACACAGTAATTTTTTAAAAAGATCATTTTGGCGTCTAGAAAGTTATCGTGAGTCCAGACAAAATATAAAAACTATAAAACACCTCATCGTAAAACCTATAACTTGTTAGCTAAGCGTCGAAGCCAAAATACAAAAAGACAGGATGTAATCATAGAAGATAGCCGTAGGTGTCAGTTTTAGGTTTTATAAGTCACTACAATCGCCGTAATAGTTTTGCAATTGGTTGAAGTTTTCTGTATACTACACGGCCAGGATGTTCTATTGTTTAATGTTGACACCATAACTGTTTTAGCGGATAACTACGATATCAATCATGTTACGTTTGCGTTGATTTTTTTTTGCTCGTAACAATTTTCAATATAAACGCTAGCGGAACCGTTAAAAAACTTTCCCGGGTCTCCTAGTTTTATTTACTTTTTATTTTATTATCTTTTTTATATTATTGTATATATATATATTTAACCGGCACGGCGCCGCCGACGATCGTTTTTCCACTCGACACATACTTGCGCGTTCGGTCAGTATAATTGGAATAACTTTTGGTTTTTGAAGGCACAAAATATCACACGGTCCTGGACGAGAGCACGTATAAAACGCACATGAAGCTGACAATACAATCGGTAACACCGTCGGACTTTGGCACGTACCAATGTATTTCCAAAAACTCATTAGGTGACACGGACGGAGGCATCAAACTGTACGGTACGTTGATATGGATTAATGTAGTTTAACGAACGGCCGAAAAAGAACTATCGAGTTTATTTCAATTATTTAATGGACTCATCGGTCAAAATTAACCATCCCAACCCTGCATACACGTGCTCATGACCTGTCGCTTTTCGAAATGTATTGAAATCAATTTGACCGGACTTGTTGTATAGCCTCGGTGCGTTTCAAGTGTGTATGTGTTGCATTAGAGAGGCTTAAGAGAGAAACACTGCATTGGTTTGACACTGTTGGCGTCTCATGTGTGATTTTTTTTGCAGGATTACCAAGACCGACGACCACGACAACTACAACCACGACGACGACGACGACGACGACAACGGTGGCTCCGACCACAAGAAAAGCCATTGCCACTACCACCGGCAAACCGTCGTCGAAGCATGTCGGCAGGGGTAAACACTATAATAATAATATACGTATGCATAAAACTACAAAACGGTTTTCTCCATATTGTACACAATATTGCACGACTTGGACCTTTGGACGGACGCCCGGAAACTTTTTACCAGCCGAATTTCCATCTACGATATTTTATTCTCGACCCTCGTATATCTTTATTTTATCCGGGATTTCACGACGGAAACGGTCGCCACACTCCCTGTGTGTGTGTGTGTGTGTGTGTATATGTACATATTATAGCTTTTGTTGTTGTTTTTTTTTCTCTTCAAGTGCCCGCCAACGACGTGGACCGGAGCCCGACGTCGAAGAAGACCGGAAAAGACGCCGCCAACGGTGCTAATAAGAGGCAGCGGACCGGAGGAGAACGGCAAACTTCTCGGACCGCCGCCGCCGTCGGTGAGTGTGACCGATAATGTAGTACGGGGAGAACACGCCCATTAGTGTCGCCAAGAGTTCAAAATAAACACAGCCGACTGTGATTTATATACACATCGATGGACCAGAATCCGAAAAGACAGAGAGAAAGGAGGGAGGGAGGGAGAGAGAGCATAGGATAAATTACCATGGCCTCTCACGCTTTGTTTATACTGTATAAATCACAGAAAATATAAAGAATTGTCGGTATTATTCCTTTTTTTTTTTTTTTTGTATGCCGATCGGAAAATCTTTTTACGCAACTTACCGCCTGTTTGCCGTTTTCGTTACTATGATAATAAAATTATGCATACTGTTCTTATTCATTTTAAAATTGCGATTATTTATTTCTACATGTTGACCATGACCGGTGCAGTTAAGAATGCGTTAGTCGTCGATCACAGCCCGTTCCCGGATGAACCGTCGTATTACAATATATAGAGTATTATTGTATCTATAAACACTCTGTATGTTAATTGAGATATCAAACAAATTATTCTGATACAGGCACATATATTATATACACACACATTAGGGTTGTCATTATTTTTGGTTTTGCGAAATTTGACTATATCTTTATTTAGACTATAAAAGTTTCAAGATGGATGTAAAAAGGCCACCAAAAATTAAGGTCCAAGATGTATTTAGAAGGCGTCTATACTCAAATTCCGCCATAACCAAAAATAGGGACCATATATTTATATGAATATGGTTAAGTTAGACAAGAAAAAATGTATAGAACAAAAAGATGTGAGGGGATTGAAGTGACATTGGTTGTTGATAACACATTTTAGTAAGTAACAAAATATAACCTAACATAATATATGGTTATAACATTACCTAACACGTTAACCTTTTGTCATCGTTTTATGAACTCCAATTGAAAGTGCCGTAGTTGTTGAATTTGGTACCAAGCCAAATACTTGGTTTTTAATAAACATTAATTGTATAAAAAAATTTGGTATTTTCGATAACAACATAATATTACTGTTGTACCTACATTATTGATACTTTTTAATTTCTATGATACGCAATTCCAGTATTATTTATACGAATATGTTTATTGTTTATTTTATATTCCATTTATTATGAACCCCGTATGTTGCGTTGACCGTATTCATGGTATAATGTTATTATATCGTTGAAATTCATAATATGATTCGTATCATTGTACTATGTACATGCTTCAAAAGCAGGAATACGTAATAAACAGCGAATGCATCTGATTTGTCGTTAATGCATATTCAAAGAACCAAGTCTCCCATTAAAATAAGCGGTATAGCGAATTGCACAATATACACCCTCGAATGTTTGACATGCATTATGTAAATACTGTTTCACGTTTGTATATATTTCAATTCAAACTCGACTGCGTAAACAACAATGAACACAACAATATTGTACGCTGGCTAGCGCGCGACATTTTGCAGTATTTTTTATGATTTTCTTTACGACTTAATAAAGTTATCTAAAAAATAAAAAATTCCTTTTTTTTATTCACCGATATTTTTTATGTGTCAATTTCGAGTCATGACTTTGATCGAGGCTAAACACTCCGGAAGCATAATATGCCATTATAACCAATACACCGGTAAAGGACGCTATAAAAAAAAATGTAGAAGCCAAGAATGAACCATATGAAGTAACCTCTATCAATCGCCTTATTAATTTTTATATTATTATTATTATTTAACAACTTTTTTTTTTTTTAATTGTTTGTATACCTAGTATTTAATAATTACAAAAATAATAGCTATATTTTACAGCAACATCTGCATTTGATATTTTGTTACTTTTATCATACTTGTTAGTGTTCCCAGCATAGGCGGATTACATTGAATGAAATGAGTGGACTTCCAATGAAATATTGAACTTTTATTATATAATGATCAAACCATTGTAACCGACTAGGTACTGAATTATTTTTCTAGTAAATTACGCTAGAAGTTTAAATTCCAATAACTACATTTTTAATGCAATACAAATGTTCATAAAAATAGTCACAACCCCCATAATAATATATTATTATCGAATGTTCTATTTTAAGGGTAACCACTAAAACGTATAAGTGTTTATTTAATCTATTGATATGTACTCACGATGATTTTAAACGGTATATGCATAACACAAAAACATAATATAACTTTATATATTATAAATTAATTCAATTATACATACAATTCAATAATACAAATATTACGAGTATTGTTTATAATAAAAGGTATATTTGACCTTTTATTATAAACGTAATATTTTTTCGTTGTCAGACTCAATCGAACCGGGCTTAATAATTGTTTTTAGAAGTAGATCTAATCGGGTTTTTTTCTAGATATCCATCAGAATGTAAGGGGTTGCTCCGGTTTTGTTTTTTCATCAGATTGGATTAGACTGGGTTGTAATTATTATGCGCGAATAACGTTCTGTTCATTTTTATGTTCGTAACGGTATGTTGTATAAGTTCATTTATTTTTATATTTACAAGACCGGTATTTGAAAATGTGTAATACCATATCAAACTGTGAATCAATAGTAATTTAACATTTTTTTTTCATCCTTCTGAAATTCGTACTTTATGTGTAAATTACTATTAGGTATCTATAAAGACGCAATGTTAGGTACCTTGATAAGCATTATAACTCAATTTCCCAAAAATGTTTATACATAACACCTGTTCATTATGCGACTAATTGATTACATTAATAATATGTGTGTTGCTACAAACTTAGATAGTAAATTCTGCATAAAAAACATTAAGTCTAACAAAATTAATAAAAAATCATTTTTATGATTATCCTATTATAATAATATTGTTATTCCGGTGTAGAACTAGAATATAAAAACTATATACATATTTTACATGTTATATTTTACATTTATGTTGTTTCCTTGGGTTAAACATCTAACAGTTATGTCCATTTCCATTTTGCACATTTTTGCATCAATGTAGTATCTTGTATGAAGTAATGTTTACTGTACACTTTTTTTTTTTTTACAGCAAATAATAATATTACTGTGTGCATGTTGCAGACGATAACAATGGGGCATCGGCTGTAGGCAAAAAGCAAACAAACGGATCAAATACTGTGCATTCGGCTCTTGGGATAACAGCAGTTTGGATTATTTTACAAAGGATTTCTCGGATACTATGAATCCGTTGGCCGACACGAAAAGTACCACAAGAAGAAAATATGAAAACAAAGAAAAAAATATAATATATATAAAAAAAAAATGTTCTCGTTGTTTTATACACATATTTTATACGTATCATTACGCCACATAATCTGTAGCGTGCAAGTCATTTTGTATATTATAACCGCATGTATGAGTCATAACGCAGTTAAGGGGGAAATACAAAAGTGAAAACAAAAACTCGGATATAAATTATGTACATATGGTGTGAACTAAACACCACTCTCGCTTGGCTAGACTTGGACATTGCAATGCACCGCGGAGGAGATTTTTAAGGATGCAGTGTATTTTCTCCGCTAATGGTCCACGGCAGAATAAATAATTTCTGTCCGGGGTTCGGATGCAACGCTGCCTGTGTTCGGTTATAAAAGTGTCCCTCGGGAAACGGGAGAAAAAAAAGGTAAAAATGAAACACCCAGAAATGGCAATCATTACATTTCTTTCTGCCACCACACGCTTGTACCGTCCAATCTCGTTTTCTTGCGTACTACGGCGGCCGTCATCCGTTAAGGAAAACAGTCTTTTATGAGCTTACATTTTTTTCCTTGTCGAAACATTGTTAGCATAATATACAATAATATAATAATAGTGAAAAATAATGACTCCCCGAAAGAATTTCCATTGCCCGAGATGGTATTTTTTTCTCGTCGGCGCAATAATCCGAAATAAAAATAAACATAAGTCGAAAATCGTGAGAATAAAATATAATATCTTGTATTGTTTTCCTGCTCTTAAGCGTGCACCGCTGGTTTACTTGTTAAATTTTAAACGTATACAAAAAAATACTGTTAAAATGATACCCTTGTTATCCTATTAAATGAATACCTATGTAAGTCCGTAGTGATTAGATTAACAACTATTTATAAATTGTATATGTAGCTTCAGTTTGATTTCAAAACTTTAAATTTAATTTTAGTCGACATAATTATTTTAAAATTTCAGTAAGTTGTATAATATCAAATTCTCTTTAAATAAGTATATATTATCCGATTGAAAGGATGTTTAATTCATAGGTATTATAGTTTTGTTTTAACCAAAAAAGAGTAGAATGAATCTAATATATTATGTTATAAATTGTAATAGTTTAACTGTCAATATCCTGCTTTGCTCAACCGGAAACTTTTACATTTATGGATGACTCATAATAATTCTTATCATTACCGTAGAATATATTAAATTTATAAATATCGTTTCTTTATGTATGTACTCGATATCCAATGTTTAATGAGAATTTGGAGTAGTTTTATAAGATATAAATACCAATATGATATTTTCCATTTCATATCAAATTACAGCGTTGTACATTTCTTATTTTTATGCTAGCCAATAACTACAATCTAAATAAAATTATAATTTAATTAAATAAATCAAATACTAAAATATTACTTTTCAATCCATTACACAATTTAAAATAAATCATTCTAATTATTCATATTAGTTAAGACAATGTGATGTTTTTTTTCTGAAATAACCTGTTTCGGCTTACTATTCGAAAATGTCCAGATTAAAAAGAGAATTCAAAAGAAAATTTTAAACGTTACCTTTTTTCATGTTAAACTATACAGGGTGACCATTTTATCACGAATATATTTTATAACTCAATTCATCGATAGTTATTTTATTTCGATTGATATTGTTCTTGTAGATAACAAATCAAAAACAAAATAACAGTATCATTTCCCTCTATGGTTTAATATATCAATAGCTTCGTTGCTATTTACTACTTATTCATTTTTATTATGTAATGTGTTCAATAATGTTGATTAGGTCGAACAGGACCATAAGACGGTAGTGTAGTTTTCAGTTGACATATTATTATGTTTTAGAATTCATGAATATTATAATAGTTATAAGTAAGATAAACAATGTCCGAGATATATTCAGTTTTATTTTTTAACTAGACGTATAGTAAGTTATAGATATTATGAGTAAATAGATGTATGTATGTTAAAGAAAATTAAACCAATCGTTTAGTGTTAAAACGGTCACGCTGTACGAATACTATTTCAAATTAGTATCTATGTATTTATATTTAAGTAGTGCATTTGTTGTTAAGCACCTACGCATTGATGTCGTAATAGGTTTCATTACGATTTGTGACAAATTCTTTTTTTATGTTAACTTACTTTTACTTAGATGTTACTTTGTTTAATTTAGTAAAGTAGCCTAATATATTATACATCAATAATATTAAATGCATTATTATGTATTGAACATCCTTGACAGTTTATTTAATGTTTCAATAGTGCCATTACATATTATTATCTTTTTATAAATAAAAAGTAATGCGGTATCCACCGTGTACTACATTACTAATTTGAGTTACAGAATATATTTGATTTTAATGGTCTATATTATAAAAAAAGGTAGCACATTTTTTTTTCAAAATATATATTTTTTCAAATGTTACATGAGTTTTGTAATTTTAATCTACATAAATGATGAAACTTCAGTGTCCATTAAAACTGAATAAAATTTTATGAACAAAAATATAACGAAACAATTTAAAATCTTTCTTTTTCTTCTTCCGGCTTATACTAGCGGGTATTCTCCAAGAATTTTGTCTGCAATCATTAAATCCCTCGATTTCTCTTGATTTTGTACAATAATCTCTCTAAATCCTAGGTTCTTCCGATCTTTTTTCATGACTTCTATCTACCTCTTTAAAGGGCGACCTCATATGTTTGTTTCTTTCAGCTTCCTGTCGAGGATTATTCAAATAATTGATTTCTCTATATTTTTACTAAAAAATTATAGACTGTTGTCATGCTCATTTTTTCTTGTAATTTTCTTTTGATCTTTTCTCGCAACTGGCCTGTCCTATCATTAACTATCTAGACACATATCTTTCTCCATATTTTATTCTCAAAAGTCCTCAATATTCTGTCTGTGACAAAAGTGGTTGTCCTCACTTCACAATCATACGTAAGAGTTGACCTTGTTATTGTTGTGTACATTTTTTATATTTTTATATTTAATTTGGACTTGATGAACTTTGATATTGTAAAGAACGTCTATTCCGATTTTGTTTATCTGGCCCCTTTTTTACATGAGCAGTCATTATTTGTATTTAATAGCAGAACAGAAAAGTATTGGAACTCTTCAATACTTAGTTAATTGTTTTATTTTTCATTCTAGTGTCATAATTATTTTGGTGTCCACGTTCTTTAGATATATAATAATAAATAGTAAATGTTACCAACATTTTTTTTAGACTCGTTCTGATATTAAAAGCTTTAGATTTTTTGTCTACCCTAACTTGGTACTTCGTTCCTTTCATACACATTATTCAGGCTTCCTTGAAAATCCGAAATCTTCCATTGTGTTGTAAAGACTATCTCTATGAACGCAGGCCTACAATTTTCTGAAGTCTACTGCCAGATGTTATGGGCGATATGGCTATATTGTCTCTCTTAACAATCTTTAATAAAACAACAATATTGTATTATTCAAATTTGACTCCTCACTGTCTAACTTTAAACAACCGTTATTATCTATATTATCGAATACGTTTATTACTCACGCCTAATTTAGATGTTTATTATTTAAATAATAAACATCAAAATAGATTATTAAATAATTATTGTAATTATAGTCATTAAAATAATTATGTGTATAAATGGCATGTTATTCTAGTGTAAATATGATGTTAGACAGTTTAATTTTTAGATAATATAGAGAAGTAGATCCGATTACTTGTTTCAACATATTTTAAATATACCAATGTGTAGACAAATAATTAATTATTAATACGTAATCAAATGTTAAGTTTTTAATTTAATTGTATAGAAATAATATTTATTAAACTTACGATTTAAGATTATTTAATTTGTTTTTGTTGTTTTATTTTTATTTCCAATTAAAATTATGTAGAATAGTATATATATTTATATATAACAAAATCGGTTTTTTTTTTAGGTTATTTATGTTATGCATGGTGTAAATAAGTATATAAAATTAAAAATTAAATTAATCAGGTCAACTAACTTAATTAAGAATAAATTGTTCTAAAAACAAAATTCATAAACTTATTAGTAATATGTTTTTTTTTTTGATAATAATATACTATTATAATTTATAACAGTAATACCTATTATACTACTATAATATAATATTATATTATACTTATTCAATCAAATTTGTAATTCTACCATTAGATTCGGTTGATCAGATGTACAATATTTAACTGAAAAATATAAACAGTTACACATTTTTAATAACTAATTTTAAATAGATAATACAGTATTGGTTTCAAAATTATGTTTGTGTTATGACTACATACACGATCAACTTTCGACTGCAATACCGAGTAGTATATTTGTTATCCTTACGTTAATAAATAATATGCGGTAAGTACTCAAGTGGATTAAATTAAGCAAAGTACGCATACTATTTCCCTCGAATTCGGCTAATTTCATATTAGTTATACATTAACCCGGTAAACAACAATGGGGCTAAATTATTTACTCTTGAAGTAAAAAAACATTTTAGGAAATTGTTTTTTTATATGTTTACAGTACTGATTACATAGATGTCAAAATAATAAATATGTATTTTGTAGTGTTAATGCTTGCAATATTACTATAGAACACCTTGATTACCTTAAGAACATTTTTAAACAAGAAAGCAAGTTTTACACATTTTGTGCATATAATTGTCTGTAAGTTTATATATGATTAAAAAAAAACACATATTATGAGAGTATCACATAAATACCTAAAATGTATGTATCCAGTTTTATATAAAACACATAATATTAAATTTATTCCATAATATTATAAATAATAATCTCAATCGTTTTTCATAGAACATGATACGATATTTGTCAAAACCATGGTATGATGTTGATTCTGTAGAAGTTGTTTTTATTTTTTACAAATCTTTTAATTTTTTTAACATTCATTCAATGTTTGTACTACTTCGTAATTGTGATTATATAGGTACTATATTGAATGCTGTATCATACAATTGTTAAGGTCAACATAACATTAAATACTTTTTAAGCTACTTAAATCAATGTTTACGTTACAACTTATAATACATAATATATGGAAACTATATTATAGTTTTTTATTAGTATTTATTAATTGATAAAAGTTTTGTTGAAAATACAATACTTAGAACAATAAGAAGTATGGATAATTTCAATAAAATATAGGAACATTACAACAAGTTTAAATTAAAAACAAATTTGTGTACAACATATTTTGTTTTTTGACAGAATTTAATTTTTTTTATATTATTAATCTCTTTTGAAATATCAAATACATACAATTAATAATGATACCACGAATGAAATGTGTAGTAATAATTACCACAACCGCTGTAGACCATTAATACATACAATCATAAGAATTACTTTTTCTAAAATTTAAACTATTATGTTGTATTAATGTTGTGATTATTTTTCAATAGGTAAAAATAACTCAGAATCGATCTACTCAATACCATATCATTTTTGATTATAGACTATGCAAATCTTTAAACAAAGGCGAGACCGTGAACTTTTGGTTTATCATAAAAAAAATCAAGTATATAGGAAAACCATATCTTTAGATAACTCAAAACCGCAGGCTATAGGACCAATCCAGTTATATACAGCCCGGTAGTTATACATTTAATAAAAAAAAACATTTAAAATTAAACATCAGAATCGTGACTATTTTAAAAAGTCTTAAAAGACCAAATAGTGTAGCTTTTATTTAAATTGAACGTTAAATTTGGTTTACGTAGTTAATTTGCATTAATAACTAATAATGTTTTTTTGAATACAATTTTTAAAATAACTGAAAATTTTTACTTGAAAATTCTTTTATTACAATAGATCCTTAATATTGGTTTATTATTTATTTAAAATTGTATTTACTAATTTATAAGGCCGTGAAAACTAATTGAATGTTTAATTTACATCATAACACTTTTTACAGTTATGTTAGATGCTTCCATTTACGGTACAAATACGAAATAATATGATTTATATATTAAATATTTTTAACAATTATGAATATTTAACATGTGTTTAAAAAAAATAGAATGTGATATTATTTTTCTATTGGCCGTTTATGGTGTTTTCAGCATAATTATTATTTTGTACAGTTGATAAGAAGTATATTATATATCAATATGATATCATAAGTCATACAACAAATTTTATTGATTTTTAATATAACGTTACAATAATTATAATTATCGGTCTAAACGTATGTTTAATGTTTAACGTAGTGTCTAAAGAAACCTTAACTAAAAAAATAATAATAATTACACACAGATAGCATCGAATGATATGTACAGGTTTTTGTTCCTTAAGTATACACTTATATAACACATAATTTTCATACACGTATACTTTATAATAATATAATGTTATTATTTTTAATGGCGAGCCAAGTATACCGTAGTACACAATACTTGAACGCTCTCACATGTTCAGTCTTTTTTTTTTTTTTATCTCTTTAACTCGACGGGTTTTTACTTTTTACAAACATCAAGTGTTCCGTACAATCGAATAGTATACAACACAACATATTGAACTCGGGCAAATACATAATATTATTATTATAATAAAAACATTATTTTTAATACACGACTAATATAAAAAAAAATACTTCACTAAAACGAATTCACGTAAAACGTCAACAATAAATTTCATAAATAAATTCATGTGTATGTGCTGCTTAAACGTCCAAACGTTGTACAATAATATATCCCACTATAAGTTTTACATGATATATTATTTTAATATGCTTTTTCTGTCCTTTAGTACTCACTTAAAAGCTCGGATGTTTCGACACAATATACATGTAAGTGTACGCGAAAAATAAAAATGAAAACACATACAATTAATAGTCGAATAAACTATTAGCAACTTTACATCTATATGGAAACAGTATAGGTTCATATATTTTGTAAAATACGTCCATTATCATTTACAAGCGTAAACCAAACCCACGAAAATAATCATCACGTGTAAAGTCAACGGGATCGGTTGAGTACTGGAGTCGTAATCTTCCTCATCGTCATCATATTCTATTATGTCGTTTTCTGGAAACCAAATATATAATAATGATAATCTTTGTATACATTATTAACCAATTTTAACAATCAAATTGCGCAAAACTTAATTTTTAAAAGTTATCGAAAAATGTGGTTCCGACAATATTACCGTAGACATGAAAATAATTTGTTTGTTCAAAAGTATGTTTTATATAAAACGTTTTTTTTTTTTGTTACCCTTATCCATAATTTCTTACCCTAATTATTATTAACTTTTTGTTTCAAACACGTGTAGCAGCTAACCAACCAGATTTGCTTTTCGTCGAGAAATGCCATAACAACAACTCGTCTCCAAAAAATAGTACAGTAAAGCGAACGCCGACTTTTTTCATCAAAAGGCTTCAGGCGAATAAAATAATAAATATTAACAGTGCCGGAACACATCTTAGTTTGCACTTTTCTTGAATAGAAAATCAGAAATATTGAAAGATCTTAAAGTTTCGAAATTTTAAGCTTTGAGTAATTATTTTTGGTACGTTGTGTACATGACAGCGTTATATGCACTAATTTAGTTTATTGCTATTGAACTCTTTCAAATTTATTTTTAACGTCATACTGTTCACTCTTGGGCAATTCTTCATACAAATCATAAATCTATTAGTTTAGTGCAATGTTCAATATATCCTATTTCTTGTTGATCATGACTCATATCCAATATAAAATCTCTCAAAGTAAACCAGATGTTATATCTAAACTCTCTATTCATTTTTCAATACTATTACAATTTAAATTGTTTCATGTAAAAATGTACTGATACCGTACATGATGATGACCTTGTAAAAAAAAAAAAAAGGAATAAAAGTTAATAAAAGCTATCTCAGTTAATGTGCCGATGAAAGTGTTTCAAATTGGTCGTGCACAGTCTATCGCATTCACACAATGATCTAATCAAGACTAAACCTCCCCTTAGGCGGTAAACGTTCTGCTCGACTTTATTGCATTGTTGTCTGTACGTCTAGTCGGCGCACGCTAAACCCGTATTGCAGAGCACGCTTTTATATTATGCATAGGGCGAATAAAAATAAGAAAACAAAAATCACAAGACAATTTTTTGCGTTCCCTACAAAGTACAGACGGTCATAACGTACTTTCATCCTTAGATAGGAAAGCAGAATCTCTGATGTCGTTCGAGTTCGTCCGTGTTCTGGTTCGATTCCGGTTTTTGTCTGCAAACAAATAAAATTGAATCGTTGTTATTTTTACAGTTTACGATCATAATACATGTTAGCTAAATGTATAAATTTGCCATATGATTTAGATAGTTTTTAAAGCTACAATAGTAAAATTATAGTAATAGTACTTTCATACAATAGTGTTCTATTTTCGCACACTCGCCACACTATCTTATATCACAGTGAGACAACCGTGTTTTTACTTTTGATTTATTAATATTTTAATTCATTATATTATATCAAGCATATAACGTTTACGCTACAGTACATTATTGTATTAGTAAAAATTATTGCATTTTTTTTTTCGCCCTAGTTTACACAAAAGAAGTTTCCACCTACGTATACTAAAACTTATCATTTCTAACCACAAACAATATAATTAATAATATTTAATAATTTTTTTAAAATGTGATTTATTTGAATTTTTGTCAGTATTTTTTACTGAAGTCATTTTTTTTTTGCAAATTGACTGGTATATTATATACTTTGGAGTTTAGAGAAATAATTAATATAATTAGGTACAATATGATATTCTGGAAAAATATAATGGATAGCATTTTTTAACTGATATGTTTAAATCATCTGAAATAAACAATTTTATTTTCATGTTATTGGTGTTCCATTTCTTAGAAAATATAACTATTCCAACATTCGTAAATGGAAATCAAGATTAACGTTAATATAGTTTATGGGTAAATATTATTATAATGTAATGATAAATTATGTAATGTCGTTTTAGTATGAATGCTATGTTAAAAAATATTATTTACAAAACGTTATATACAAATTTTGAAATTATTTTCAATACTTATTTAAATCATATTGTATAATTAACATTTTAATATTAAAAATCCTGCAATAAAAAAAAATTATGACATGTTTAAAAAATGTTGAAAATATGTTTGACAACATTTTACAAATATTCTAAATTCGTTTCGCTTTAAGGGATATTTTAGCAGGAATTTAAATATTAAACATATAAATGTTTGACTGCCTACACATTTAATATTTAAGAGACACGTGCGATGTTCATTAAAGATGTTCGAAAACTCAACAACATTATTCGTACCGTATTTTAAATCAGCCTTCAATGCAAAAACATTTAAATAGAACTTTAGAAAACTAAGATATTTTTGTTTCTTTATTGCTGCGTGTGACACAAGACAACAAGATAAATACCCAACGGCTGTCAATGTTGTATTCGACAAGACTCAAAACTCAAAAAGAACCATTTATGATTGCCCACTCTAGGTATACAATATGGCTCCGGTCGTATAAATGTGTTGTAAAATAGCTGATTGACAAATGAAACGCGGGTATTTGAACATAACAATAATCGTATATTATTTGAACAAAACGACGCCCACAATCAATCAACGACAGGATGTAGGACAAAGACGACACTGGTACACACATAATATGCATAATACACACAAACAAACAAACGCAAACGCGGTAGTATATAGACACATGACGCCGCCAAAACCTAATGATATTTTCCATTTATTTTATTATTTCAGCCCGCGCGTTATATATACGTTAAAAAAGAAAAAAAACGTCCTCGATTGTAGTAATAGAAAGCAATAAATTATGATTTTTCATGTGAACTTTATTGTGTCTTTTTAATTCTACTACTTCCTCGCCGTCTCGGGGTCCCGTTTGCCCCTAACCCATAATAATAGTCTGACTGCACGTCGTTCAATTCGGTACACACGTACCATATCATTTTAGGTCAGACATAGCGGTAGGTAGGCCACCAACCGTATTTGCATTCTTATTCTTATTATTATTATTATTTATCGTTTTTCTACCGCTCCCATAATTTTCGCTCCAACACGCCCTTTGCCCCGAGTATAGAGTTTTATTTGCTCAATGGAATGGGCAAACAAGCCTGACAACAAACCAGCACTGGCGAAATACCTCATCAAAACCTAGTGCCCGTGTACCCGAACCTTGAGAACGACTCGAATAATTAATTCCAACCGAGTAGCACTTCGGTGAAATTATTTAAAATGCTTGTTATTAGGTATATTATTTATTTCAATATTGTACACATGTTTAACCTCGTAAGATCGCTTACAATGTATTATAGCATAACATCAGCTCTGTGAGTTTAAAACTAAAGTTATAATTACTTATTATCAACATAGTTCCAACAATCATATTTAGGTATTATTAAGTAAAATACGTAGTCACTTAGGTGTTCTCATATACAAATCAATAAAATGTAAGAATTAAAAAAAATATATATTTAAAAATATGCAAAGATACAAAATTGTTTCAATTAAAATTTGAAAAATATATTTTTAATAATTTGCATATTTTTCGAGTTAAAGCACAAATTTAACTTCATAATTTCAAAAATTGGACTTAACCGACTATGACCGCAATGTAAATTGCCATTTTGATAATAAGCTTTTAATGACTTTCGATGTAGTTCAACGGCCTTTGTGACCACCAAATTTAGCGTATTCAGCAATAAATTACTGCTTTACCTAATAGTTAAAATGCCAAAAAATATATTACGTTTTTTTAGTTTCTGGAAAAAATTTAAACTGCGGAAGCCATTAATATTGTTAATGTTAAATTGTCTACCTTAAAAAAGCAATATAAATAACACATATAATTTATTTTTATAATTTTAATAGCCTATGCCCTGTAGCTTACCTAGTAAATACAAATACATACGAGTCTTTTAACTTATGAGTCTTATGATAAGACTCATAAGTTAAAATAGTACCTGCATTGTTGTTTAACCTTAACTTAAACAACGACTTTTTTTTTTAATTTGATAGGGCCTGTCTCAACTTTTTTAATTCATGCAACTACATACAGACCATACTATATACATAACCAATAGAGACTTGGACAGGTGCTTGCCATCATAAATCATTCCCAGCGTTGAATTTAATAAATATTGAAAGTATTGAAACCAATAAATACTCGAATACGAAATTCAAACAGTAAAAACTGCAAACTACGTAAAAAAAAAATACTCTTAAGCTTAATTTTATTATAGCGTGGCAAACATTGGCTAAACTTAAAACATTGATATCCATCAAACAATTTTGAAAACAACAATAAGTTTTTCGTTTCAAGTTTTCGTCAAATTCTTGTAGTTATTGTAGTTAGTCGGTTGATGAAAAAAAAAACTACTTACGGATACATATATAGATACCATGAAATGATTCTTTCATTGTCTTTACTTCATATCTTAACTATAAGTATAATTTAACTTATTAAGTATTTATTAAACTTTTTTTTTAAACAAAACAACTCAAATCTACATACCTAATAATTTTTAATAATTATAATAGATATGGTCGAAATCATAGAAATATTTCACATTTTAAAGCTAAGGTATTTTAAATGTATTTGTAATATAGTTTACTTTAACGGGAACACTGAAACCAGTACTAGTACGTTAGTAATACATTAAACATTATTTTTATATTATATTTTTACCAAATGTTTTACATACTTAAAAACAATGACAAAATATTTATTTCATCTAATTCTAAAAAGTAGCAAAACAGATAACTTTTCAACAAACTCTTGGCAGGGTTTACAAGCAATTTTTTTTTATTTATAAAACCGTTTGCTTTTTTCCCCTTTGACTTACTGCCTCCGCCGTTGTCTTAAAAAATGTGGAAAGTCCATTAGATCACATTGGGAACTGCTGTGAAAAATGTTTTATTCAAGTACAGTGGCCGTGGCATGTCCATATCATATTATTCTAGATCGAATCGCTTTATTTCGGACGTGTGTAGTAAAAACAATAGTGCCATCAATATCAGCTGCTGATGCTCTTCGGACATCTATAATTTATTTACCGCTTACTCTGCGTGATTCGTTCAGGTTAAAGATAAAAAAAAAACATTGCACGGAATCGTGACATATTGCGTTGTCGTACTCAGTTTACCAAGAAAAATATTAATCTTTATAAAGAAAAACAAGTTTTAATCAAACCACAGAAACAGTGCTATTTATTTCAGCAAAGCGCAATGAAATTCTACCTTTTATGTAGTTCTGTTCTGTATGCATTAATATTTACATTTATGTTTATTTATTAACTATATTTTTTTGATATTATATTCAATAAAGTTTTCATACTAACTACATTTTCATATGTACTACTAACATAGTAGTTAGTAGTAGATATGAAATATAATATAGAAATATAGTAGTAGTTTATTTCGTCTTGCAGTATACATAATATGTAATGACAGATTTAACAGTTTGTTATAAACCTAGTTAATGTATAAAATGTATAGATTTATCATTAAGTGTAAGCAAAAGTAAGAAAAATCACAGTACTTACATATTTTATGTTTTGGCTTCTTAGGAGAGTGCCCGTCATTATTTTGTATTTCTGCTCATGTAATAATAAAACAATAAAAAATATTAAATTAAAAAATTAATTTTCTGTAGTTTTTTTAATAAAATTATTATTTTATTTATTGAATTACTTATGAATTATGCATAATATTAAAATATGATACGTTAATAATTTATTTTAAGTCATTATTTTTTACTTAACTATCAAAACTTTTAATTTTTGACTTATCGACTTTGGGGCTTATTTGGGGGTCCCCCGGATGTCCAATCACCTATTACTTACATTTAATGCTGGGACACCCTGTATAACATTAATGAGCATATTAGTTGTAACGAGTGATCTGTGATATCTATTAAGAGGGCGTCGCACCAGTGATTTTCAGTGGTAAAAACATGTTTAAGCAGACTGAAAATAACTTGCTCAATTTTGGTTTTAGAGTAAAAGCACTAATTATAAAATTAAAAGAAAACAATATTCCGGAGAGCAAGACTGTGCGTTTTAAAAAAAAAAAAATAATTTTTTAAAAAGTTACTGTCGTTTAAAAATATTAAAATAGTCGTTATTTCTAAACTATGTATTGAGCGTTTTACTTACAATAATGAAAAAATCGCACCGTCTTGCCCTCCGAAATATTGTTTTCTTTTAATTTTATAATTAGTGCTTTTACTCTAAAACCAAAATTGAGCAAGTTAATTTCAGTCTGCTTAAACAAGTTGAGATGAAAAACATTTTTAAATCGCTTTCAAGGATGCTGTGATAGTCCAAAAAATAAATTAACTACCAAAATAGAGTCTTAGTTATTGAACTAATAATTACACATCACAGTTTAACCTTTAAATTAAGATTTTGTAAAAAATTGCCTATACTTTACTCCTTAAAAATGGGCGGTGCGACGTCCTCTTAACATGCTGTTACACTAATAAAGCGCATAGTAAAAATTTCCCAAATTCATATTCATTTTCTATTAGTCACCTTAAAATAAAGTTATTATTTTATCAAAAAAAAAACGAAAAACATAAATAAAATTAGCCGTCAATTTTATTCATAATTTCCATATCATTAACAATATTTTGTTCCTCGCAGTAATCTTGCATTGTTTGACTGCGGTTACTTTTATAATATACCATGAAAAACAATAAGCTCTCTTAAAAAGGTCTTACTTCAGATTACTTAAGTTTATCGTACAGATATTGGTAAAATACTTAAGTGATCAACCATTATAGGTATTAGGGCCTATCCAAACATTTTAGCGATGAGATAAGTGGTCTCAGACGTTACATTTGCAAAACTTGATTGTGTTTCTTAGATCAATGAGTACAAAATGAATGCTAAAACAACTGTTGGAACAAACTTCCACTTACAACAAAAGATTTAGTGCTTTCATGGCGATATCATCTCGTCTCCCAAATGTTTAAAGAATTTACAAAATTTATATGTATATAATATAACAAAGAACTACGAATTTATTTCTAATATAGAAAAAAAGGTAATAGTTTTTCAGACAAGACGTTTTTACAATTAAAATCGTTATTCTGATTAAAAAATTTTTTAATTTTTATAACGTTTTTTTCTATATGACCTCAATCTGGTTCAACACATACTCAAATATTCAAATGTCCAGTACAATGAAGAAAACACTGACATGTATTTTCTTTAAAACTATAATATTTTGGTAGATTATAAGCAAATAACTGCAATCCTTGTCAGTTTTTGATATAAATAAAGCAGTCAATATAACAAAAAGTTAAAAATTCTCACTTTGAGATGAATTTTATTTCGGAAAAATATTACAACAAAATTGATAAATCATTTTTGGTTATAAAAAGTTGTTTGTCATTTTGAAACATCTGGTATTAGGTTTCGGTAACAAGAATTACCAATTAATTACGTGCTTATCTAAATTTTAGTTGTAATATTTAAAAAGATATGACACTGACTAGTATTATCCAATGACCGGTATTCTCCCACCTTCCCCTATTTATATATATAATTGAAATGGAACAAGTCAATTACTTACGGCTTATTTTTATCGTACCGTCCATGTCTCCAAGTGCGTTTCTAGACAGACACTTGTACGTACCATAATCTTCGATTGTCACTGACTTGATGGTAAGTTTCATTCGAGTTTTGTATTGATCGGTAACGTGCTCTTCTGTCTCATATTTTTCTCCTGCAACGAAAAAATAACTTATCAAATTGTTTTATGAATTAACCAAGCTCTTACGCCGTTCATAAAAACGCATTACAATGTATGTTGTAATGAAAGCTATGAGCTATGAAATCGAAATTGTTCATTTAGGATTTTTACTTTAATTTAAAGGTACCAGGCCACCCCTAGCCAGTTTAGATAACAAATAATAGTTTTTCTTCGATTTAAATAAGTAAAAGTTAGGAATTATGTTCAATACATTTTTTTTGTCGTCAAATAACTATTGAAAACTCAATAAATACTAACGAGTTTGGCGGTGATCAGTGTTTTGTCAATTTAATTTATACTTGAAAAAAGGCATCCAAATAAATATTTTATAATTAATTACCTAACACGAGATATAAAACAGCAATTTTAGCTAATGCGATTTTAATTCGTGTCATAAATGTTAAATTGAATTAACATTTTTTTTTTCGATGGATATTCTAGTAGTTTTGAATTTAAAGTGGCACTCCGATAAATTGTATACTACTGTTAAGATTTTTTTTTTTCAAGCTTCAGCTTCTATGGCCATTAGCTGTCCGTTATGATAATTATTTATGTTGGTTATTTATACAAGAGGTATTTTTTCAGGTTTTATTAAATATGCAGTCTCTTTTTGAGTATTGTCAGTCTGCATTTTTATTTGTTTGTTATAAAAGTTCGTATTTTATTCAGATGTTTAAATCGACTCTGCCAACTCAAAAGCCATTATTTATTAGATATAAACTAGATCTATCTCAAACATGTCATAACAATATAATGCAAGGTAAAAAACAGTATCACTTTAGCTACACAGCGGAACTAAAAAATATAATTTAATAACACTGAAAAATAAGGTTAAGTACAAGTTACGATATGTTTCTATAAATGTCTAAGTCAGTTTCAATTACCCATTGGACAGATGAACACTAACTTAATACAGATATGTTCGATCATCGAAACGAGTTAAACCTCGCTGAGTACGAAAGACATAGAAAATATAATGAGCTAAGTCAAAACCAGTTGAAACGATCGTAATAAAAAAGCCGTAATTTACTTGAACACCAGTATGCAATAAAAGTAGCCTCAAATTCGGATAAAATAACTTACAAAACTTAATCTGACAAAATAAATAATAATGCATGTAGTTCATTAAGTAATATGGGCAAACTAACTAGTAAAATAATAGAATTATTCTTTAATCCCCTTAATATAAGTTTATACACATTATTAGAACGCCCCTCTTGAAAAATAACCTTTCAGATCAAATAACTTTACAGAAGACCCTTAATTGTTTAGAAACCTGTATAAAGAAGAAACCACACCAAGAGTAGTATGAATGGACACCATGTTGAATGCCATCATGTTTAGTAGTCCAGATATACTTATTATTATTAAACAAAAGAAGTAGTACCACAATGTATTGGTATTTACTGATACATGATAAGCCGAAACAAGCATTGGATTTGTGGTAATTGTATTTTACAGTGTAATCCATGCTCAGATTACCAGCATTAAACAATATCTTTAGTCTTTACCGCAGAATATTTAACTGTCAAAATTAACATTTCAGTACCTACATATTTTTTATTTTAGTCAAAAACACTGGAAATTATTTTTTTCTTTACCAGCGTTACAAAATTAGGTAGCATCTTGATTTTCAGAGCAAAAACAAATGAACTTTAAAAATAGATTATCAGAGAGAAGAAATCCACAATATCTTTATATTTTCCCTTAATATTATGTACAAAACTCAATTTGTAACGCCCTAATTTCGGGAAAAAATATTGAAGTCTAGGACACTTTTGTTTCATAGCAAAAAAATAATAATATTTGACAACGTTAATTAATTTTTCACTCTCGAAGACACATTTTTTGTTTTTACACATTTGCCGTTTACGCCACACCGACGGTTATATATTATACCATTATTAAAGCACGGTGGCATTATCGTTACACGCATGCACAAAAAGAAGAAAAAAACAATTTTAATTGACTCAATCGTTTGACGGTATAGTATATACTATATTACAAGCAATTATTATTTTCTACCCGTAATAATAACAACAATAACTATTTCACACACATCCGTACCACACCGGATTTCACCCCTGCTGCCGCATATAATATCAATCTGTTCCATTAGCAAATTAATAGGACCTCCGACCGTACAGAATTTGGCTCACCCCATTCAACGCCTTCATTTGCAGCGGGCAAGGGGAGGACGGCGTGCTCCCTTGTGTCTGCCCGCGTTGCTCTTGTTATAATTGTGAGCCTGTTTAGATTTTTTATCCCCCCATTAACGTCAACGGCGATGGCTCGTGTGTGCACAATGCACATTAATATTATTATTATTACTGTATACTAATATATATTGACCGAATTTGGACAAAAAAAAAAATCGATCATTGAAAACCGCGTTTAGGCGACCACCTCGTGCATTCTGTCAAAAAATCAAAATTCTCTGATCTGTTCCCCGGGAGATATTTTGGCGTCGAAAAAAAAAATACAATTAACATCACTCGCGCCGCGTGGTCTGACTATAATGTTATTATAATACAATATAATAATGAAAGGACGAAGACTAAATTGCCGTTATTTGATGCCACCGTTGACGTTTTTTTCCCCCAACAATAGCAGTGCCGTGGCGGCGGCTGTGGTGGTTTATATACGTGTCACACATTACTCTATTCAACCCTCTGCGTATATATTAAAACTTAATTTAATATATTCGCGTTTTTTTTTTTTATTATTCTTTTGCATAATACAATTTTTTTGCGCCTGGTCGACTGGAAAAAACCGACGTTTTCGTTGTATGTGTGACGGCAGTTTTGGCTTTGAATCTCACTCAACCAATGTATATGTTATGTGACCGGAGAATGTGGCAGTCATGCCGTTATAACAATATAATCTCACCATTTTATATTTATATAAATACTGGAATTACGCACTGAGGCTCGTGAATTCTGCGAAAATCGATGACATTTTTCTTCCTTCACGTCCAAAATGATCAGTTCGCTCTAATACATTTTGAAAATTATATTACTTATACATAATTTCACCCACAAACTATGTACAATACGTCCCGTGGAAGAGATTACTTATTGCAGTTGGCTCTACCTCTAAGTAAAATATTACAATGATTTTTAAAGTTAACTATTAATAAAATAGTGTATGCATATATATATGAAATTAAAAATATTTATTTATATTTTTTAAATCTCAACCGTTTAAATTTAATTTAATTTGTTTTAATCTTATCACTTACTGTTATTAAAAAATGAAGCAAAAGACAGTGTTATTTGTAAAACAACAAAACGATACATGTTTCTAAAAAATTAAACACTCATGTAAATTAGAACATAGTTTTATATTTTTACAATTGTAATTTTATTTCGATATTAGAACTTTTTTTATCATAATCTTAATGTTAAAAAAATGTTAAAAAATGTACAAAGTAAAAAAGTTATCGTGTCTACGGGCACAAAAAACACATAATTATAAAAACAATACCTTCTCAGCAATCACATTAAAGCTAAAAGTCTGAATTTTACTCAACAGGATTCAAAATAGGTAAAATTATATGTTTTCGAGGTAGCTGATTTCAAATTTGGCATTATTTTTCCATTATGTCCCTTACCTAGGTAGGTATACTTGTTTTGTAATTATAGAAAAGGTCATATTATACTAAATTTCAAGTTTGTAAGCCCATAGTTCTGTATAACATAATAATGGTTTTGAATAGTTTTCAAAATCCAAATTTATAGAGTTTATGTCACTTTTTGTGGTTTTTGATATTTATATATATATGAGTAATAACAGCAATATTTTTTTATAGACAGACCAGAAGATTCGAGACCTGTACGGAGAAGCGATGTGTTGACAAATGTGGAGATCAGAGGGACCAATTGGACAAGTTACAAAATGGAAACCGAACACACAAGGGGACGTCCTAGATAAAGGTGGTAGGATAGAGTAGTCAAAGACTTAATAAAGAACTTGAAATAAAGAACGGAGAAGAACTGCCTAGTGGTTGTTGCGGCAATAGGCCTAAATGGCCTCTAAAGCGCCGCGAGGAGAAGAGACTAGGAAAAACCAATTTCGGTTTTTGGATACAAATATTTGACACATTTGGCAATTTGTAATGCTTGAACAGAAAATAAGTTGAACAGTATTCCGTTGATATAAAAGTAATTTTTTTTTTTTAAACGGCTGATGTTTTTTAAGCTGTGAATAAGAGATAACTATAAAGCATAAGACGTATGGTATAACGTTATAGTTTACAAATCATTATTTACTCAGGCTTGTGGACATCTGTATAATGTTTATGCGTACGAATATATAATAACAATAAATTGGTTGTAAAAAATGTACTATTTATTATTACAAGTAGCACAAATGTATGTTCATATTTTTTACCAACTATACTACCTATGTAAAGCCACAAGGCTACAAAGCCAAATGTAATAAAAACAAATAACCTATTTTCATTGCGTAAACACATTTAAATAAACATTGTCCTCATTTACTAGACAATTCATTTGTTTCTTTTATTGTTATATTCGAAACTTTTTTGTTCATCTTCATACTTTAATCTTTCCAATAAATTAATTCCATTTTCATTAGGCCGAAATAATATTTAACAGATATAATATATTGTTTTACATATCATTCGATTCAGAAATGAAGTTTTTATGTATAGTACAAATATTATGGGTGTTTACTAATGCCGAAGATGAGGATTATCCGTGTTATGATGATACAGCTCAATATTGGTTTTTCCCCTTAAAAACCACATACAAATCAGTTTCTTCGAGGAATATTGAATTACCAGATAGTAAGTTGATTAAGTAACACTGTTGACTTAATTTTACTATTTCTTAAATAAACTATTATAGTATTAGCTAAGCACTACTAATTGTATACTAAACTTAGTAGTATTTATAATTTTTTGTTTTTCTGTATTATATACATGTAAGGATAATGTATACAGGGTGTTCCATAAAGACCTGATAAATTAAAAAACTTTTTTCAATTTGAATTAAGACTTTTGCGCCACGGTTTGTATTACTTTTAGCTGTTATACTTCTTCAAGTTTTTTTTTTTTGTTACAATTTATTTAAAAAAAAAATTAAGATAGCCGTTTTATTGCGAATAATTTGTTGAGAATTTTGTTTGGTTGATAACCAGTTTTGGATTATTACTTTTTAAGTTATTAAATGGTAAAGAATAGGATGGGAAGTATAGTGCGGTAGTGTAAGCGTGTAGAGTTATTTTTATCTGCGCGCATTACTCTACCGCACTCCACTTCCCATCCTACATTTTTAACTTAAATAACTTTAAAAGTAATCATCCAAAAATATAATTACCATTCAAAATTACAGCTAAATACTTTTATAAAATCAGTGGTTTTCAGGAAAAAATAGTGTATTAAGGTTACATTAATCGCGCCCTTATTGAATTTCTACATTAAAAATAGGTATAAGGAACAAAAATCTAACCTTTAAATAAAATTATGTTTTATTTTATTATTTAGAGTGTACACCAGTTAAACTTTTTATGGTTATCAGAAATGGCACAACAAATTTATCAAAATCATACATAGAAGAATATTTATTGAAGATTGATCCTTATAGAAGTAAAATTACTGAAAATGCTAAAATGTGCCAAACGGATATTGAAGCCATTAGAAATTGGAAATCAGTTTTCGTACAAACCGAGAACTTCATGGGTTTGACTAAAAACGGACGTGCGGAAATACGAGAACTGGCATTAAGAATTAAAAATAAATTTGCAGAAATATTTAGTAAACCGCAAAACGCTGATAACTATAATGTACATATTGGGTCGTTTAAAAAAAATTAAAATATTTTTAACAAATTATTGTTTTAAAATGTTAGGTATTGGTAATGCAAAAGAAACGTTGCAAAGAAACTGGAGACATTTTTATTCAAACATTATTTGGAAGTACAGATATTAATAATTTTAAAACTGACGGCCAAGATCAAATCGTACGTTGTATAATATTTAATATTTGATGAATACTAATATTTTCTAATTTAGGTAGAAAAGTTTGAGGACATTTTATTTTCAATAGAAAAATTCAGTGATGATTATTCTGTGCAAATGAATAAATTTGGTAAAAGTGATTATGTTAAAAATGTTGTACAAAGGGTAGCAGACAAGATGGGTATTGAAAATGAAGAAATTAAAAGTAAGTAAGCTAAATAATGGATATTATTTTAAGCGTACAGATACCAATATGCCTAAGGGTTTAACAACCCCCCCCCCCTTTCATATGTCTTTTTTAACATGATAAAGTTTGTAGACGAGTGTTTTTCCATAAATAACATGTAGCAAATTTTCAAACCTGAAAAAAGGACGTGTTATCATAGACCTATAAAGAAAAAGACTGTGCCTCCCACACACCCTGTCTATACTGCCGCGTAATCAATATCGGTAGAAAGAGATAGATACAATAGTTGGTAATCTCATGGAATACAAATTTAAAAGACATGAAATAATACAATTGCTTAAATGTAAATGACAGTTAACTAATGCACGCATATTTTTTTGTCGGATATTGAATACTTTCGTGTGATGTATTCGCGATATATGGTTTTTGATCTATAGGTATAATATATTGGTACACTAATATTATTAAATACTAAAAAAAAAAAATCATAAACTCATTTATTTATTTCGTATGACATGCAAGATCTTAAGCGCTACACAATCAGCAATTAATATAATTTAATTTAAGTTAGTAACAAAAAGATAAAAAATAAAATAAATAAAACAGTTAAATAGATAAATAAAATAAACAACTATATAAATATACTATATTATTTGTTATGTCAGGTAACTTTTTCGACGTTAAGTTTACTTATCTAATCAACAGCCGGGTTTGTGGTTTTGAAGAAGTCATCCATTTCTCCTGGGTATCGTCGAGCCGGACAGTCTTCAGTAATGTGTTCCATTGATTGCACCTCCCCACAGTCACAGTTTGGGCTGTCTCTTAATTTCCATTTGTTTAAGAGTTGGTTACAGTGTTGACATGCGTAGCACCTGAGTGTTTGCGCCCCATGTAGTGCCTGCTAGTCTAGAGATGAGTGATACTCTCTAGTTTTTAGTTTAGCCACTAGTTTCTGTAGATGGGATTTGAATGTAAGTGTGCGGTCTAAAGTTCAGCCTAGATACGTAGAGCTTGACTCGTTCTTTATTAGTTGGCCGCAGAAATTCCCATTAAATTCTCTGTTATTCAAAGTGACCGGCGACACTATCGTTTTTAGTGGAATAGGTTTAAGCCTCCATTTTTTGTAATAAGCCTCGAGTGACTTTAAATCTTCTGCTTGGGTTGTTTCTATTGTGTCAAGAGAGGGTCTCTTCGCAACAATTCTAAGGTCATCAGCATATGCAAACTTTCTTGATTTAGTGTCGTGTAAGGTCACTTATGTAAACGTTGAACAAAACTGGGGCCAGAACTGAGTCTTGTGGTAGTGCGTTGTTCAATGTTTGTGACGTGGAATCTTTTGTTGCTCAATACATCATGTATGTATTTTATAGTTCATTTACAGGATATAATTTTTGTCAGCTTGTTCAGTAGTCCATGCTTTCAAACAGTATCGTAGGCGGTGCTGAGGTCAATGAAAGCAGCTCCGGCTTTCTGGTCATCATTAAAGCATTTTTCTATGTGCGATGTTAGAGCTGCAATTTGTTCGCAGAAATCTCTTGAGCGCCTATAGCCTGCCTGGTAGCTGGGTATAGCCTTTTCAGAATAATGGGTTGACCATCAGGTTGACTATTAGTTGACCATCCGCTCTCCAAGTGTGTCCAAACCACTCTAGTCTTTTATTCCTGATAAAGGCTAGAATGTTTGGTCTTTTGTATAATTTCTGTAACTCTTCATTTTTTCTTCTGTCAAACGTATTTGTTAGGTCATTATCAAAATGTAAGAAGCCTTAATAACAAACTGAGATATTTAACATGTAATGTTCCCTGCAATAATTGCGACTTTTTAATTTTAACCGAAACCTGGCTAAATCCCGATGTATTAGATTGTGAATTAAGTTTTTATGACTACAATATTTTTAGATGTAATAGGAGTGGTTTAACAAATAATTGTAGTCACTGGGGTGGAGTGTTAATTGATGTGCACAACAAATGTATAAGTGAATTAATTATAATTCATTACAATTCATTACAATTCAGTGCAATAGGTATTTTTATCGGTTAAAGTTAAATAATAAGATAAAACTAATTATAGGAGCGTGTTATATCCCACAGGTTAGTCCCCTCTCTGTATACGAAACACACATAGATACAGTTAATTGGTTGTTTGAGCGATTCGGTGACTATTGGTGGTGACTATAATTTTCGAGGCACTACTTTTTCACTTGACAACACTGATTTAGTTGTTAATGGCATCATGTCCGCGGCAGTCAATATCGTTTTTGATGCTTTTTCGGTTTGCAATTTATCTCAGTACAATTATTTACGCAATCCATATGGTAGTACACTAGATTTAGTTTTTAGAAATCTAGATTTTTTGTCGGTCAATTTATGTACAAACCCGCTTGTTCCGATTGATAAACCACATCCACCGTTGAATATTAATTGTGAATTTATTGGTTCAAAAGCTTTATCTTATCTACCGTCAGTTCAAAATTTTTTTTAAAAAAGCAGACTTTGTAGGTATTTCTATGACCTTGAATAATGTTAATTGGAGTGAGTTATTTAATAGAGAGTAATAACGGTAATTTAATTCCCTCATCTATGTCCAATGATGAGTGAAATTTTGATAATAGCCAAGCCATATCCAAGGCATTTGCTGATTATTTTTCTTCGGTTTACGTTAACTCTCAATCATTTAATGTCCGTCAGTTTCCTAAACTGTTATCAGAATCTACAATAAACGTTTCATCTTTATACATATCGTTATCTGAGGTTTTTGAAGGTCTAATATGGGCTTGGATAGCACTTATGGACCGGATGGACTACCTCTTATTATTTTATCCAATTGTTGTTATGCTATGGCTAGCCCTATAAATACATTATTTAATATATCCCTTACTCAAGGAAAATTTCCTCGTCTATGGAAGTCTAGTTTTGTTTTACCTATTTTTAAATCTGGCAACCGGAATTCAATAAAAAATTATCGCCCGATCTCAAAATTAAGCTCGTTACCGAAACTTTTTGAAAAAATAGTTGAACCAAAACTGTCTTGTGCATTTGACAGACTTATTACAGATGAGCAGCATGGCTTTGGAGCCCACAAATCAACTTGTACCAATTTATTCGTGTATGTTACAAATTTATTCGTTACCGTAAAAAAAAGAGCACAAGTCGACGATATTATACCGACCTTAGAAAAGCGTTTGACTCAGTTGACCATGTTTTGTTATTAAATAAGCTTAATGATCTTGGCGTTGGTGGCTCTTTACTATCATGGTTTGGTTCCTTTTCAACGGGTAGGACTCAACAGGTCAAAATTTTGGATCAATTATCGTCGTCATTTAATATCCCTTCAGGTGTCCCGCAAGGTGAACATTTATCCTTCTTGTTATTTTTGTTGTTTATTAATGATGTAAAGAATGTGTTCCGTTTCTGTAAATACTCTCTTTTTGCGGATGACTTAAAGATATACATGGTAGTGAATTCCATGGAAGATTGTAAAAGGTTGCAAGATGATTTTGTTTGTTTTTCTAATTGGTGAGTAGCGAACCATTTAAATATTAATGTAGATAAATGTGCACAAATATCCTTTACTATGCGTTATTTATTTATAAAATTTTAAATGGTCATATTATTTATTAATAAATGCCCTTCAAAATTTTTATTTTTATTTAGATAATGAAGATAAACTTCGGCGATTATGTTTGGGTTTCGATTAGAAAATTTTAGATTTAAATATGTACTTTCAATAATTGTCTCCTTATTAATATAATATTGTTTATCCTATGATATATACTAATTTGTTTATTATAATAATTTGTATTCTGTTATACTCGTTTTACTATCTCATGTATTCTTTGTTAAATTTGTATTAGATGTACATTTTTGTACACTCTTTGCCCTTTGGACGTTAATAAATAAAATAAATAAATTAAAATTATTCTTACCGAAAATACAATTGTTCCTTGATTTAAAATGTGGTTATTTAGTGATAAAAATAATGTTGTTTAAATTAATTTAGGAGTTGGCTTTTTTAATACATTTTTTTATTAAACTAATGGAACTGTTGAAAGTTTATTTTTATAAATTTTAAAAAATCTTTCTCCAATTTTACATAAATATATAATATCAACTGCTGGATTTATTAAGCCACCACAGGTTTTTATATTTCTTATCGACTCTGGTTCGCTACGACTACGAACTAAAATCTACTATGCATTTATTACAAATAAAGTTTTTTTTCAGCTTTCGAGCAATAAAGCTAGCTATGTACTGAATAATATCGTCAACTGCTTGTTACAAGCATTAAATTGATTATCGTCGCATGTATTTATTTTCTCATTTTAAAAGCATTTTATGATTTCTAGTCATGCTTTTAAAACATACTATGTTATTATTAAAATTATTGATCATATAAATTACTATTAACATTAATTATGAAAATATTATTTATAAATTATAATCAATGCTGTTAGACCTATGATCAATGCTAAAATGTACAAAATATAATTATATAAATAAATAAAGTCCCGACTTACCGATACATGATAATCTCATTATCTGATTCTATTTTTCAAGAAATTACACACTGACTCACAATTATTTACCATTAAACATTTTTAAATTAAAAATTTCGTTATCAGGTGTTACTATAATTTTCCATGATATTATGTTTTCCATGGGATATCCAATAAATTTCTCTATCTATTTTTAATCTATCTATCTCTATCTAGTTTATATATATATATATATATATATAATAAACTAGATTGCTAAGTATACATGTCACCAATAGAGATAGTTTAAGTTACCATTTCCGCCATCTTTGTGGAATTACAACCTTATAATATGTTTGAAGCTGCTATCACCGCTTATAACAATTATACGTTAAGTTGATAGCACAGAATCATAGTTATATAATATGCATTTTATTTTAATAACATATTTACATTTATTTATTTATTCTATACATAATTCATATTGTATATTATGTATACATATAACAGTATAGTATGTATATATACATAATGATATTACCCCGTTTACAAATGGCGCCACTGACACACTTGCTTTAACACCTTGTAAACAGTCGTCCGCTATCTAGTATCAATCGTAATCGATAGATTATAGATTATAAATAGTTATAGAAAGATTGTGTGTTCTTGACTATGAGTGGAAGACTGAGCTAATTTGTTAAAGGCATAAACATTATCATGGTTACGATTTTTTCGCAAAGGCAAAAATATACTTTTTGGTATAAAAAACATTCAATCAAGTGAGAGGAGGAGAAGTTAAAGTTAGCGAAGAAGAAAGGGATAGGAAAGTGAGGAAAAGAGAGGGGAGAGACATTTATCAAATATAAATAAATAATTAGTTGATAAAATAAGTCTGAAGTAAGTTGATAGGTCTAAAATGTCTACCGAACCGATTTCAAAAACATTTTAAAGACCGAGTTTTTATATTTATTTTCAACATTTTATTTTCTAATAAATCTAACTAATTTTCTAATAGCTAAATCAAAAATAATTCTTTCAGCCCCCATAGAGAAACAAGTTAGCTTCACGAGAAAGAAAAACTAAATCCGTTCAATAGAAACGCAGAAAATAATTTTTAGGATTAAGGAAGTTAATTTTTAAAAAACTTTCGCCCTAATTCGTAGAAAAATAACTTAATATATTTTCACTTCAAAATTAAGTAACTAAAAATATCTACTAGATTAGTTTCTAGCAAATATTGTCTATACAAATGCCCCTTTATAAATGGTGCTTTCCGTCCCCCTTATTTGACAACACTATCAGTTTTGAGTTCAAATAAAATAGGGTTCTTTTGCCCTTCTATGTTCAAAAACCATTATTTAGTTTTTATAATTTTTAAAACCATTTAGAAAATTATATCAGATCTACTAGAAAACATTTTTTTTCTAGCCTTGCTCAAATTAGACCCATCTCTCCTATTTGTCATTTCCATATCTATGCTTGTTGGTAAATAATGATCATTCAACTTCAAATTTTTAATTGTAGGAATTATAAAAATAATGTATTCTTTATGTGGCTACGAGAGGGCTTATGCAGAAGAAGAAATTCCAGCTTGGTGCAGAGTATTCTGCCAAGAAGATCTTAAAGTAAGTAGTATAAGGCGTACTATTAGTTGCTACAAATAAGATTAATAACTTGAAAATTCTTATAGGTATTAGAGTACTATGAAGATTTGTATTGGTATTATGCTGTTGGTTATGGAAATAACGCAAATGGCCAATGGGCTTGTCCATTGGCTGTACGTCTTCTAGATAGCTTCAAGTATTATACAATTTCATCCATACATTTCTGTATATCTAATTTATTATTTTCTTGAACCCAGATGAGCCAAAACTACCTAGACAAGGTCAATTACAACATGGCCAATATGGCCAATCATAAATGGTTTCGGTCAAGCCTTTCCCGAGCAAATTTAACTTAAATCAGGCCCTGATTAAAAGACATTTTGTACTTAACATCTCGGTATGAAGTATACCTAATTCTTTTAAAGTATTTCATCGTATAGTTGGTATGAAACAAACACCGTATCATCTAAGTACCTACAATTTTTAAAATATTCGTCCATTTAATTGTTTTACTGTTGTACAAAATTTACCAAGCACTTAAAATGACTTGTTAATACCATAAGCATAATATTTTTGTTCATGTAATTAGCATTTCCTAAAAATGTATTACTTTTGTGGATACAAAACATTCCGAGTTCCTTGCTAACATATAGGTATATTTATTACTTAGTCTTCTTCTATCGTGTGGTCGACCTCTGTTTAAATGCCCTCTTCATACCAGAAATTCCCTACGGTCCACAATTCTATTTGGAGCCCTATGGCACTGCAGAATATGGTCGTCTGTCTATACCTGTCTACAACCCCATAATTGGTCTTCCTGGATACCCCATTTCACCAAGTGTTTCTTTGTACTTGTAATGGCTTACTCCTATACTGTTTAGCGTCCTCCATAGTACGTATGGTCATTTCCAGTGGAGAGGCTTTCTTATTGGGGAACTCAGTTGAAGGAAGTACTCCCTGCCATAGTCTAATCCGCTCCTCCAGAGGTGGAACACCCAAATAGTTCACAGCTGATTAAGAAACTTCTCATAGAGCGCAACTGTTTCGGTGATGGTAACTGACCGTACAGGGGGTGGCGCCCGTCCGTTTCCTTCTTCGTTCTTTTAGCCACTGAGCTTACTTTTCGTCGGATTTGTGGTAGAGCACTTCCACTCAGGCTGTATAGTTTAGCAATGTTCGTTGGACGAAGACATCCGGTGATCATTCGAACAGTTAAGGGCCATATCTGTTTTATTTGTTTTTGAATATAAATATTACGTAAACTCATTTTGAATAATATTTAGACAGTTTTTCCCAAACACCATCAAATTAGTTTTTTACATATCCTTAGATCTATAGGTAACCGAATGCGTTACATATAATTTTAATTAACAAACTATAGAATTATTATAATTGTTTTACTTCATTAACAAATAATAATAACTAGTACAACTTAGTTTGAACATAATATACCTAACTCACAGCTCACTTTTATAAAAGACTTCATTTGCCGATACGCAATATTACTTTCCTACAATACGATTCTATCGTTAAATGCCAATTCTACTGCATGGCAATTTTGGAATAAGTAAACGACTTGGGTTAGATATTAGGCATCTCAAAGCTATCCCGGTAATAATAATGTGGATTATAATAGCGATTATCATTACGATTATAAATAGTATATTAATTACGCAAGTGTTACAATATAAAACAAATTTAGTATCATATTTATTGATCTTTACTTGTATTCATATTTTTTTTATTTTTAGGACAACATTTTTTTCGAAAGATACAGGTCCATATGTTACAATTAATTTCACAAGTCATGAGTTCGTGTTAAGCATGTATTTCCTATTAGGTATAGGCAAAAGCGAAAAGAAAAGCGAAAAAGACAGTGACAGGAATATTAAAATGAATTCATCGAACTACGATATCATGAAGGACCGTAATTGGAGATCAGCTTTGTTCAGTCCATGGGCAGCAAACGTCACGGCAGTGTACTTCAAATGTACCACCAATTGTTATACACCGACCATGAATAAAATAGCGTTTTATTTCAACGAACAAATTGTGGCTGTGCCGATGAAGGGCGGTTCTACGTGTGAGGTATGTTTATGGCCTGTTATCGAAGAGAAGATTAAAATATTTATAGAAAAATTCAAATGCCATGAATTCTTAAAACCCGCAAAAGAAGAGGAATATGAAATCGACGAATAATTTTTAATGTGTATTACATTACTCAAATGATTCCGCACTTTTCCACACTTTTCACCATCAATGGGAAGTTATCTCAAATATTGGCTCCAATGCAAATCGGAGCTTCAAATAATAAAATTACCTAACATAATATCAAACATCAATGTTACCCAAAATGTCATTATAACCTGTAATCCTTCCTTATCAATCGTTTAAATGGTAAAATAGACTGTCCCGGTCTGTTATCCCTTATAAATTACAAAGATACCCCACGTCCTATTCGCTCTACAGTCCCTTTTTACACCCCATAGTAACTAAAAAATGATCTTCATAATTCTCACATTATTCGTTTAATGACCTTAGTTAGCACCGAGGAATGTTTCCCTTTCAGTTGAGTGTCTTTTTACTGTCAATATTTTTACTTTCGTTGTATGCTTACTTTGTAAATGATGTTAGTTTATATTTATTTTTATATGGCATTATAGATAATAATAAACATATATAAACACTTATATGAATTAAATATAAATATGTAATTAGGTTAGTTCCTTAAGTTTTAAATAAAATATTATACTAAAGTAATTATATATTTATTTTAACTTTATTATTATTTATATTTTTAGTGTACCTAGTACATCTGTATTTCAATCATTAATAATTGTATGAAAATATTGAAAAGTTCATGTTTTTTTAATAGATTATACGGGTACATACATAATACGTCGTTTGCTATATATTTGTTATTTAATAAGGTGAAATAGCATTTAACTATTTATGCACGTGTATTCACTAACTGCAAACGTGGTTTATAATATATAATTGATATTTTTCGCCTAAGAGAACGTCACACGACCGTTATTTTCTTGAAAAAACCCGCCTTGCAAAGAAACTAAGAAAAGCTAACCAAAGCTAAGAAACCAAATTTTCATATAATATAGACAACAACACTGCCTGTGCTCTGCCATGGCCCTTTTTTAAATAATTCAACCAGTTAATAAATAATTAATTGATTGAGAAAGGACTCTTTTAAAAGATATGATCGAAAGAATATAGATGTTGGAGCACAGATAATTTTGTCATATATAATATGTATGAATTTGTATGAACTACAAAAATATTTGAAAACATTCTTTTCACCATAATGCATATATATGACTTATATGTTAAGACTTTAAATTGCTTATCGATTGCCACAAAATACTACTACAACTATACATTTCCGAATAAAACAAAGGTTTTTTGAAAGTCACTTGTAAAATAGGTACAGATTTATTTTTATAAATAGAATAGAAGCTTTTAAAGACTCGTTAGGGAAGAATCATTTTATCAAGTTTCTTGTTAGTTTTTTCAAAATGTATCTAGTGTTCAAAAAATTAACAGTGAATTTGTTAAAACGAAGAATAGTTTACCAAATTCTAGAATGTTTGTTGTTACATATATTTACAAAATACTGAACGAAATTAATGTTTATTCGATTTTATTTTATATATACCTATTTGCTTGTATATTATATCTTTATCATACTCTATATAATGTAAACTATAATTACGGATAATTAATTAGCGCCGAGACTTTGATACTCGCTTGGAATAGCTCTTGCACGTTTTGAATTGGAACAACAAACGTTACTAGAATTATTATGGTTGCGAATAATTTGAATAGTTGGCATACGAGACCTATGAATTCAACACGTTTTCGTGTTAAATTACTAAAGCGACATGTGTGTCGCTTTGGTTATTATTGCCAGTGAATTTAACGAACTTAACAAGTGTGCACTTTGAGATAATTAAACATGACGGTTCCGATGCATCTACAAATACCACTAACACTATCAAGCGTAATTAATAATTATTATTGTTTCGTGTTTACCCCGAGACAGTTGCATGACGAATCGTTGGCATAATGAAAGCAAGTGGATAATTTAAAATAAAATATGGTGCAAACGTAAATACAGTTATATCATAAATAAAATAATCTAGAGCTTTTAAATTGTAATCGAATGTTTTTAAATTGTGTTATATTAATAAATTATTGTAAGTATTATAAATATACATTGTCCGTCTAGCATGAAATTGTGGCCAGTAAAAAGAGAATAACGTGTAGAACTTTTCGGTTTTTATTTTACAAGATGTACATCATTTTTTTCGTTAAAGTGCGCAGATACTTATTATATTCAATATGCACACACCTATTACACCTATTTATTTTAGAGTCGTCGTGAAAAAAAATAGACGTTTTCTCAACATGCTATATAATATTTATATTAAACATTAAACTCTGCTAGACGTGTTGTCGCTGTATTCAAACCGTTTCACGATTAAATAGATCACGTCAAGTCCGGTCGGGTAATATGTTGTTGTTTATATCTTTATAATATTTTCCGTCTATACCCGCAAAAAAAGATATATCGACCCTTAACGTATACACCAATCTGCCGGCGTAGGTGACAGGTTATTATTGTTTCGAGTCGCCCTCCCGTGGATATTCAATCATCGAGAAACGCACCGCGTTCACGTTTCACCCCCGTCGATTACAAGGGCGCGCCTGCATACAACAACTATCGGGCGAGGGCTATATTATATAGAAGAGATTATGTATAATATGTACGGTGTGCATTAGGCGGAGGGGGGCCCGAAACCTTATCTGGACGATGCCAAAAATTGCAAAGAGAGAGAAACAGATAGAGAGAACAAGGGGGGGGGGATAAATCGACTAGAAGTAGACACGTCGGAGACAGAAGCGCGCGCTCCAACGAACTGTAGTATTGTGTACTATATCATATTATTGTGGCGAAGGCGATATGGGTTTTATAGTCTGATTGTTACCGGCGACGGTGGAAACGACGGCGGCGACGCGGGTGCTCCAGGATAGTATTATTGCGCGGGTCGTGTGCCACAGCATACACATTGTACGACGCTATATCGTGTTGTATTATAATTATTGTAACGACATCATGTTAGTAACACGAATAGTCACTGCGTTATACACATAATGTTATATTTGTTTAAGGGGATTGCACGCGGGTAAAAAAAGAGGTTTTAATATGTCAATTAATTTACCAGTTATTTGTACGAGCTCAAAGGTATTATTTTAAATTGTGCCAATTTCAATTCTGTAAAGAGATTCAAGTTCTTTGGGGCTACTTTACTATGTTATATAGGAAGCTGGTTTTCATTTAAGCATTTTAGTTTCTTGTAATTAAATAAATGATAAACTTACAATTTTTTCAATATGAATATCCAATTTTTTTACATAAAAAAGTAAAAAACAAAAATAGCTGGTTCCTAGTAAAGTTGCCAAAAAACTCGTATGTCTTTACCGAATTGAAATCAGACCATCTTAAGTAGTCGAAATTTTGTCTGGCTTTTTGGTCTAAAACGTCAGAAAAACCGACCGCATGCAAATCTCTTTAATAAACAAATATAGTTAAAGCGATTCATTCAAGTTACACTTACATGTACGACAGTATCACGAACATTATAGAAAAGAGTGATTGAGCAAATTCCATTCTGCTATAGTGGCACCAAGACAAATCGGTTAGGTTGGTGTATATTAAAAATGTGACACGCGGTCGATCCTAAATCTATCTGCATAAGTCATACTTTTGCCAAGTGTGCATTTTTCCATAATATCCTAAACTGTATGCCATTAGAATATGTAAATCCATCAACAGGCTATAAGGTTCCATGAAAATCGGATCAAGGAAACGACTTGACAGTTCAATTTGCATATGTATTTTTTTTAGTCGTACACATCGCTTTGTATTTTTTTTTTCCGATCCATAGGATTTTTGATACTTTTTTAGCACTTTAGTTTAAAAGGCTTAGGTATTTTTTGTGAACAATGGTTAAAATTCAAAAACTTTAGGTCGTTATTTCCATAGTCGCCTATATTATAATAATATAGTGTTGGACAACACATAATAATTGCCAAATTATTTCTATACACTTTTGTATAGCTAATTGCGTTATAAATATTAAAATATAATGTGAAGTATTTTATTTGAACTCTGAAAATATGTTTTACACTTTAGATATTTAGTCGTTGAATGCACATTGTTCCTTTATTGCTAACCCGGCTTTAACGTAAAAAGGGTCTCGAGTAAAGTTACCTTACATAATATTATGTGATAAGATATTAGAAACAATTTAAATTATACACGGTACAAACTTGATGAAACTTGACTCAAGTGGTCTGGAGTCAGAAATTTCCTTTAGCGAGATAAGTGTGCAATATTCTGTAGAGTAGTTGTAGCTACTAAGTGGCTTTAATATATTTTTAAAAAATCAACCCTTACAGCAAAAACAAATAGAAATTGCCGTTCTGTTCCTATGATCGTCTTTGTCGTTCCTACTCCGTCACAGGAACTTAACGGGAAATCCCATTTTTTTTTGTTCCGTTAGGGTAGCTTCTCTTTGATAAAACACAATATACAGAATTGTTTAAATGACATTATGATGTTCAGAATATAAATGAAACAATTGTATTATGGCATCAACGTTTTAAAAGTATCTAATAGATTACGTTAAACAACCCAATTAGTCTTGATGAAATTATATTAATTAACAATTCAAATAAGTAAAATATTTTTTAAACATGTATATATGACTTGTTTTTGAACATTGTTTGTTATTATTCCAGCATTTTGGTTAGGTATATATAAAGAAAGAAAAATAAACAGGCGTTAGTACAAAGTTATAAGTCTTTATACCTTGAACTATTTGAATTATCGACGATGATGAAATCGGTATGGAAATAGCATGTAAAGCAACTACATCACAACGTTTAACATTTACCGAAAAAGTTGTTGAATCGACGGCTCGTAATTATGCAAAGCTCAACATTCATTCGATATGAATTAAAAACTTATATTTATCACACGACGGAGGTTTTATAAAATTAATAAATGAAAAATAATTATATTTTTAAAAAAAGGATTTTTGTTTGATATTAAAATATTTTTGCTTTTATAAAAGAAGTGCTGTGTAAAAAATACATTTAATTCAAATGAAATACATTTAAATAATAATATACTATACACAATATAGATTGAGAAAAGTGTTTTCAAAGTCTTGCATTAGCATAAGGTATTTCATTCTTATATATAAATATATATACATTATATAGATTTACCTCATACAAAAAATTAAAACATTTTTTTAATAATTAAAACAAAATATCCAGGTCTTAAAAATAAGGAACCCAGAGTATTTAGTATACAAATATATAAACTATTATGTTTACAGTACAAAACAAAATTATGGGTAGGTTAGTTTTGTTTGACTGGTAAATATAAAGACTTCTGTTTTAATTTGTTCTTCGAGTTATAATATAAACATTCATTACTTTTATAAAAACTTGCAGGTTAGCAGATCAGTATACGTTTACAAAAAAAAACATCTAATTTTTTTATGCGTCCAAAAAAAAAATTGGTGATCAATAGTAAATCAAAATGTATTTATTGTAATCAAACGTAATACTTGTATATTATATTTTGATCACTATGAAATATTTATATAATTTTCTTTTCAAAAGAAAAATAAAGATTTCTTAATAGAATGGAAACTAATAATATATTTTTTTGTTAGATGGGTTATTTATATCAAAATTAGAATATTCACTAAAAGGATGTCTTTAATTAAAAACCACGGTGAAAGTAATTAGTTTTTCTTTTTTACTGATTTTTAACGATTTCTTTCTCAGTTACAACTTTCATTATGGGCGTATAACGTAAACATCAAAGGAAGTAGACGACCATAAGACGATGAATAGGAGAAATGGTAGTAGTATTATACAGATGAAAAGAATGAAGAATTAATTTGTAACGAGTAGTAAACAAAACAGATAATAATTGTCTTCAAAGTAAGGGTGAAGGTACATACCAATGTTTGCTAACTCATTAGTTCATTAACATACTAATTGCATATAGATATAGGTATGAGTCTATCCGGGAGAAATAATAGACACAACATTTTTCAACTGTATTTTTCTAAAACTTGGATACTTGTTAATAACACAAACAAAGTAAAGTTGCAAAATTTTAGCTCTTTAACCGCAATCTGTGTGTATGCAGTTAAATATTTGTCGTAGTTAATACATTCTCAGTAAAACGGCTATCTTCACATTTTTAATTCTGTTTTTAATTGTATGCAAATTATAACTCTAAACGGCTTTGAGATGGAACAATTGTTTTATCAAAATATGAACTTTAAGACATTATATAACTTAAGTTTGATTCTCACCATGACACATTACATTGCATACGGTAACCACCGTTTTTCTAATCTTTATTATTGTCAATAACATTACCATATATATATATATATATATATATATATATATATATTGCTATTAAATAAAGCACAAATGACAATAACGTCAACAATTTAGGACACTCGATTAACGATGTATGGGAACTATGTGCCGTAAACCACCTCATGGTGGCCAAATTATATTAAAACCTATTACAAAAAAAAAAAACTGGCCAAATTTCGGCTAACGATGCACATGAAGAGACGTACGATTCAAAAACCATCTATCTCTACAATCTGTTAAGGGGGAAGAGGAAATTAATAATGTTTACATCTAGTAACAAAACGTGTTGGTTTTGCCACAAGTAAGTATGCGTTTCCTTGTTTTGTTTGGAAAACACACTGCACCGCACTGCACCTGTACTGCATCGCACTAACACACTAATGTTTCGGTCGGTTGCAGCGGTGTGGTTACTGTGTTTACATACTTTTCCAATTCCCACCGCCCACGCGACGTGCATTAAAAAAAAAAACAATACTATACTACCGGAATATTTCGAAAATTTACACTGTGAAACTTTTCTACGAGTCGTGTTTATAATATTATACACAGAAACACAGATATATATGTATATAAATACTTATACATTTTTTTTTTTTACAGTTCTGTTTTACTACTAAACCACAGTCACGCACTGCCACCGTCGGCGGTGTGTAACAGACGAAATCACGCGAACCAATTACACTGGTCGGACACAGGAGAGGGTGGTATCGACGGGGTAGGTGGTGCAGATTCCCCAATTGTATTGCCGTACGTCGGGAGACCCTTATTTGTAAATCTAATCGAAAAAAAAAAATAATAATAAACCCTATACTTTGCGAACGTTCGGTTGACGGTCGGCCCGAAGCAATTTGTACATTATATCGTTATGCATGCGTTCATTGTGCCGCCCAGTGTGATATTACACTTTATAAGTCGCTCCAGTGTTATTTTCAAACAGACACACACACACAGTCTTAGTGTTTATGCAAGTCCTAGGCCACCGTGTGCCTCCTCCTGCCCTTTATAATAACCGTATTTTAGGCGCGCGCTGTTTATCGGTCGGCATCGCTAATTAGACGCCATGATAGTAGTAGTAATAATAATAACATAACGATAATAACCGCATAGTCTTTGGCTCGCCAACGACCGGCATTATAGAGGGTTGGATTCCGCAGGGAGCCCGCGACGTTATCTTATATCAAATAATTGACGTGTTTCTTACGCGACGAGAACAATAGGTCACAAGAAATAGGTATACTAAGTGAAAATTAAAGAATTTAATCTACAATTTATGATCGTAAACAGTTGTCGACGATAATAATAATTAGCTCACTTGATAATAGTACAAACGGTTTTGTTAACGCGTTACACTTATATACATATGAAAAATAATCGAATTAGACAAGTAAAAAAACCCTTTGCCCAGTTTTATACCGTCAGAGCATATGATGATAATTGTCGACGAAAGTATAGAAATAGTTACGTTGTTGAGATGACAAAATTTAAGTTTAAACCAAATTCATGGTCGGCTTGTACAGTACACTGAATTTAGAAACTAGGTAAACATTTTTACTTTATGATCCTTAAATATGCTATGTACTCGCTCGTTTTGGAAACTATAAATTAAAACATTATAAACAATTTTGTAATCAAATGAAATCATCAAACCCACAAATCTGCATTAGGCCCATTATTATAAAGAAGCTCTGTGTAACAATGGTCAGATGGCGTTTTACACCAATTAACTAGCTATACGTATAATGCACTTTACAGGTTACTCAATGGTTGTTCCAAACTCGCATTAGATTCACACTTTTAAATCAGTTTGACCAATGCTCATTGTTTCTTTTCAAATATAAAATGATGTAAAAAAATGTTTAATTAACTAAGTTTTCATCGGTAATAATATTTTAGTATTCAGAAAATAATGGGTGTTTGGACCGCTGTTATTTTGTATTCAGTTTGTATATTTTGTAAAATATTTCCTAAGCCATAAGTATTTTTTTTTAGTTAATTTTAGTTTGAAATTTTGCTGACGGATTTTTAATTTATTTTTAATAATTAATTTTTATACTGTGGCCTGTTTTATAAGAACTAGCGTTCTCGGTTTATAGTGTTAATTAAGTGCTCATCGAGCAGAAATGCAACATGTTTATTACATAATTCAATTTTATTAGATAAAATACATTTAATTTAGTTGGCGCTTTATATGTAGTTATTATTAAAGAAATTGCTATACCAGATGTTATAAACGTATTTTTTTAGTTGTATACTTTTTTCTCCAAATTCCTGTCAATTTAATATATATAAAAAAAATTGTATATTATACAATTTTAAAAATTAGGCACCGGAAGTTAAATATACACGTGTATCCAAACATTACGGGCCCAAATCCTTACCAGGTATCTAGTTTCAAATTATATTAAAAAGTTATAGTTATATATATAAGCTTACATACATAGTCTATTAAAATAGCTGTATCAGTTTGTAATTCTCAAGTATGTTGTAATAATTATTAAGTTGTGAGGTTGTCAACGGTCATAATAATCTTATCATGCTAAAAGTTAACGCGCAAACGAAATATGAAGATACGATTTTCTATTAACGAGTAAAATAATTATTTTTATTTTTTATTTATTGAAGAATATTTACATTCTATGCTGCAAAGCATAATGAGCAAATTGTTACATTGTTATACATACAGAGAGAAAAAATAAATTAAAAAATAAAAACGGTGATGCTGTATGAGAAGGGAGGCTCTCCAGTGATAGAACCCAACGTGATTTAAAATAATTATTATGTAGATAAAGATGATTCCACTCATATCAACCGTTATAAATATTTTTTTTTTACACATGAAGGGGCGATGTGTATCACCCTCATTCGGCACGCGTCAATTAGACTACACGTGGATGAATAGTTGGATTACAACTTAGCTGACTGACAACAAGACTTCTTGCCGACCATACACATTAGAAATGAGAATACATAGAGGTGGCGAAAGTGACAGCATGGCAAATACTAAGCCTTACGTTGGATACCAGCCATGCTTTATAATATAATAATGGACACGCGTTGTACACGTGCCATTCGGATAAACTATGGCGGTGGTAAAAAAAAAACAACACGGTAAAAATTCCAAATGAAACGACCGACAAATAAATGATGTGCATTTTGGGGATTCGAAAACGTATTGGATCTGAACACAGACCAATGCAATGTACTACAAAAAAAAAAGGGGGGAACGGAGACGGAGCGGCCGACTTTGGGGTCTTCGTTTATTACCCCACAGACACGGTGGACTCGTAAAAAAAAAATCAAAATTCTGCTGAACTTTCAACTGGTCTATAGCCTGATCCAAATAACAGCAGCTATCCCCTAACCACATCAGCACCGTTTATACACCAGACGTGTTCTGCTTACCGTGAGCAATGATTTCGCCGGCCTCTCGGGTCCAATAGTTGATCGACTTAGGATATGCTTCCGACAGACACTCCAGCGTTAGAGACTGACCGACGGCGGCACCTATCAGCTGGTTTTTAATCCAAATCATCGGAGGGACTGTAAACAGTATTTAGTTTTTCTGTTATTTTTTTTCACACTTTTAAGTCGATAGTTGATCTTTAAAAATTTAATAACATTTTGTACTTACAGTTAACCACCAACATTATACGTTTGCTGACCGACGGCGGAACTCCGTTTGACGCTATGCAAAGATAAGCTCCCATGTGAACACGGCTGACCCGGGTCAAGTTGAGCAAAGGTCCATCGACATTGTGAACTAAAAAAAAAAAAAAAAATCATAATCATTACTAAAGGATCAGAGAACAAAATCAATTCTCACACAACCAGTGGTTTCTATTGAATTAACATAAGATGTTACAACTTACAACACTTTTAACGTATTAACTCACTATTAATAGTACATTCGGACCAACACCTAAGTATACTAAAATTATGTACGTCGAAGTTTAAGTCAATAAATATGTAATTTTTTATAAGTATTATGTTTTTATTCCAGATGCCAAAGCACATTCGGTAAAATGTAATCAAATCCAAAGCTGCAACAAAAATATGTCGAGTACTGGCTAGGTACTACTACTGTTGAGCGATATTAGTGGTGAGACCAGCAATGATATTTAGACCTAATATTGTTAAATTAAAAATTAATTCAATGACCTTTAATTTGGCAATACTATATTTATTCCACTCGAGAATTATTAAAAGAGAGATTGTCATTCGCGACAGAACAATTGCTTAAAAAAAAAAAAAATAATAATTACGTCGACTATATTTTATTTGAGTTATTTTTTTAAGTACTTCACTTAGCTAAATACAATACGCGCACCATATAGTGTAAAAGGTGAACGACTATTTCGGTCAAAACGTTTTTTAATCAAATCAAAAATCATCCCTGATTGTTCGAAGACGATGACAAGGTAATGATGGCAGGCAAACCCTCGTTAGAATTTCTCAATTGAAGCACGCCACTTGACCCTCGTCGTAAAAGCACCACTTTTTACCTTTTATTTTATCCGCTTGTTTGACAGCTTAAAGCGTCAGACGCCATTATGGCAGTTTTATATGATTCCATTTAAAAATAAAACTATTTAAAATAACTTAAACATCTTTAACCTTCTCTTATGTAAACAAAAATTAAACAATATAACTATAACAACTTATGATCTATAACTATCTATATCGTACATTGGTATCACGCATTCTCTTTTTAAAATATAATTACTTATAATTTAAAAAAAAAACCTTAGTAAAGGAATATTCAAAAGTTACAAATAGTTATGCGATCTTCTTCTGTGCTAGGAATCCAAAATCTCAAACATTGTTCAAATAATATTTTATACATATATTATATATATGTTTTCATAAAAATCCAAAAATCCATTAAAAATATTACATTTTTACATATTTACCTTGAATGTATACTACTTAAAAGTATGATTCTATGATATTATAAACGAAGCTAAGCGTTTTAGTGTTAAGTAATATAAATAAAAACGATACCATAATATCATTATAAAGACTTCTACATATCGTTTAGCATACTAAACTCGCTTAAATTTTATTTTTGTATTTAAGATTTTCATTACAACCTTTATAATAATATAGTCCTGAAGTTTGTTTCCCAGCTACAGCGGTATACTATAATATGCATCCATATAACATCCTTGTGATTATCATTATTTCCTCGATGGAATACATTACACTATATTAAATTTCTTTTTTTTTCAATTTGTCGGAAATACTTTGTAATGATAGTATAAAGTATAATATAAGAAAATATATACTCTCTGATGTGTTTTGTTATAACATCCTAAGCGCTATATAATGATCCTACATTTCATTTAGATTAAAAAGTTGAACGTTTATGAAGTACCTGCATGTGCTGTTTCGCATTTTATTGATAAAAAAAAAAAAAAAATAACAAAATTCAAAATGTTTTTTAATGTATTTAGTACAATTTAGAACTAGTAAAATGTTTATAGTAAGCTATTAAAAGTTATAACTTGAAAGCCTTTTATATAATATTAACCTAAATTGAAATTGTTGCACTTGTTTTCCTCTGAAACGTGTGGGTTTTACCCATTTCAATAAGTTTAAACAGTTCTGACATTCAAAGGACTACAGTTGGTTTCTGTGTAATTTCTGTTACTTATAATTTTAATAGAAACTACAGCAACTACTGAGCAATAATGACTTTACTGTAAAATTACCGGCCACCCCGCCCATGTAAACATCGACCACGACATTAAATATTTAGTACAACATGAATATTATAACTAGCTTACATATTTTAATAAACAACATATTTTTTTGCATAAGTAAAAATATATATTTTAATATTTGCAATATTTTAAAAAATTTAAATAAGTAATAATAGATATTTTATTTTGTGTCTTATCTTTATTAACTTTTAAAGATACTCTAGTTAACACTTATCGTTCATAATAATTCTAAATTGCATAGGTATACAAATAAAACACTATGGTTATTTTAATAATGTGGTAGGAATCTAGAGCGTGTTAAGCCAACAATATTTTACTAATCTACTGAACTACATTAAATTTATATCTATTATCTATGACAATATTTGCTTACGGTAAATATCATTAATTCGTTATTATTGACATAACAAGTAAAGCTAGTATTTACATATTAAAGGGTACGGGGAAAAAACGGGCAAGTCACTTTTTAAAAATGGCAATTTTGTTGTTATAAAATTCGTTTTGACACAAAACGAGTATTTTTTAAACATTTTTTAAGATTACTTTAACATGTTTTTCTTAGATAAGTGACTTTCCTGGTTTTTTCCCTGTACTCTTCAATTTTTTTGTATAAAAAAGGTCAATGGACGATTCTTGATAGCTAAGTATTATATTTTATATAGTAATACAAACAAAGGTAATAACGATTTTACCATTATTGTCGGAATCAATGAATAAAAATACACGAATTAATTATCATGTTGTTTAAAATGTGTTGTAAAATACCGATTATTGTTATCCGTGCTACCGCCGCGTCGTCTATGAAATATAATGAGCGCACTGTATCGTTATTGTATTATTCAAACGTTTTATTGAGAAAGTAGACCTTATTGTGCAAGAGTGTCGAGGGGAAATTGAATACGGAAAATGTATAATATTGTTACCTACACAAAAAGCTCGTGCACTTAAAGTTTTGATATGTATCATCCTAACAGCCTCGTATAACGTGAACCGTCTGTTTGTCAGTTATCAAAGTGCAGGGCCCGTTAAATAAATATGAAAAATCCCGGTTGCCGTTTTTATTATCTGCCCGTGAGTACGCGAGGGGGTGGAGGGGGGGTTAACCCCGTCGGGAATAACACAACTATCACTACTACCGTCACATCTGCTAACTTATAACAATATAATAATATGACCATTCGACGACGATGCAAACTCGGTCGTTATTGCCGTTCAGATTACACACACACACACGTGTACCGCGTATCGCAGACCTTCCATAGCGGCATACGACCGAAAGAACATTAATAACTTTTTACGCTAATGAGCATCGGTCGTGAAACACGTTTATTTATTTATATATATATATTTTTTTTAATGTTTATAAGCCATTTGCTAAAAATTCCGCCTAGGGTAACTGCGTTGTTTGCGGTTATATTTAATTTTTTTTTTTATCCTGCATACTCACACACACACGCATAATATGAATAAAATATAATTGTTGGCCACTTCGACGGCCTGCCTCCCCACTACCGAATGGTAATCAGTAGAAAGAGAAATCCGTTTTTTTTAACGTAAATGGCTGCGGGATTTGAAAAAAAAAATAATAATAAAAAACGCGACCCGGATAATCCCTTGTCCGGTCAGCTCTCAATGTATATTTAATACACCTACCGACGGCTTTAGATCGTGCGGACATTAATACTTAAATCTCTACGGGAAGCATTAACTTTTCCTTTTGAACGAGTGCCTCTTTTGCAAATATTATTATTATTATTATTATCATTATATTTTGTATTATGGCGTTTACTAAAAAATAAACGTGTAATATAGCACGCCGAGATTCGTCGTAAAAATGCAAATGAACGGTCTACACCGCTTGGTTATAAAATGTCTATTATGTGCTGTTTACCTTTTTTTTTTCTTCTATGCGCCATATTATATGAAAACCGCCGCACTAGCGACATTATATTTAATTTACATTGTAATTCCTCGATTTTATAGATACGGTTTTAGCTTTAAACCATCGTCTGGCAGCTACTGTATGTAAATTAATAATACTCCTAATACCTATACATGTATAATTTGTAACTTACTCGGTCTTGTATTTAGTTCGATATTTCGTTTATGCATTGATGTCCACAGCTTACCGTTGACAAAGCGAACAATTGCTCGCTAGTCGAAATGAAATTATTGCACGGTAAGGGAATAATATTAATTTGGTTCATTAGCTCGATATGAACATATTTTAGCTTCAATTTTTTATAAAACGAACAAAATAAAAAATGTATTCCGAAATAGCTTTGTACATTATTGAATTATTCTTCAATTGTTCTAACTTAACCTGTGTGTGCAATTCATTTAGTAAAAAAAATGTGTATGCATTTGAATGTTTCTAATTAATTTTACATTCATGATATAACAAATAGAAAATTAAAAAAAACGAGCAAATAAAGCAGTACTAAATAAACTATACTGAAAGATGTTTGTACATTACTCATTAACCTGGCGAATACATTATGTTAAACTAGAGTCGTTAAAAAATGGTATTTTACAGACTCGTGAACTTATATCAGTATATTGTCAAGAAAGCAAACATACGTTTTAACACACACATTCTAAAAAGTTAACCATGTCGAAGGGAATACAATAGTGATGTAATAGGTTATTTTTCTTTTTCTTGACCACGATTACATATTTTATTTTTGATACACGATACTACTTTGACTATCTTTTTTTTCCTTATTTAGTCTTTTCACTTGTTTAATTTTTTTTAACTTAACTGAATACGTTTTAGTTATAATTTAAATTAATTTATTCATTAATCTTAACTTTTTAGATTCTAGATCAACCTTACAACTATATATTAAATTATTCTATTAAAAATATATATAATTTAATAATTGTAAAGTTAATTACTAATGAGGGGCACAAGTGGGCAAATGAGTAAGATGCCTCCCCCTCTTCGGCGACGGACTGACGACTTATCCCGGATAGACATATTTGATCGCAGGATAGATTTTAATTACACTTTGATGGTAGTTGATAATGTTTAAGAAAAATATAGAAGCGATTGGCCATACTGCTCTTAACGTTCTGTATTAATTTTGTAAGTCTTATCAACTACAAAAATACTAATTTACTATAAAAAAGTTAAATATATTAAATTCAAAATTTGTACCATCCTTCCCAACATTGAGACTTGACAAATATAGTGCAACAATACGTTTTTCAAATTAACTTTAGTTAATAAATTGATTTAAAATTAGATTTATAATTAAAAAATAAACACAATTAATAATATCTTATTTTATTTAACTTTTGTGTAAGTCTGATTGTATTATTAAAGTAGTCAATACATAAGTACATGTAATTGTATTGGTTAATGGTAACTCAAGAACTTCAATTGAAGACTACGTCAAGGTGAATAAGAAATAATAATATATACGTCATTACTTCCCATTGGAAGTGAAAGCTATAAACTATACCCATTAAACCATCACTCAAAACATACCTTATATCCCGTATACATCTTGTCCCCATTTTTATTTTATTTTTATTTCTATTACAAATGGCGCCAACATAAAGCCCTACCCCTTTTAATTTTACCTTTTCTCAATATTACAGTTAATATAAACCTCTTGACAACTCGCAAGGTCAATCAACCTCTAGAACTATTGATACAGTAAATATGTTTAATGTTACAAACATTCAAAATAATAAGCTGAAAATCAAAATTGTTATTTAATTTTGACTTTTTTTTTTTTTAGCTGACGTTTTATACATTATATACTTATGTGTGATGATTGATTAGACCACAAAATATTCTATAATATGATAACTGACAAGTAATTCAGCAATCAATTGACCGGTGCGGCGTGCCCACCATATTTTTTTGATATACTTACCAGAAATTATCGGTTGATTACTCAAACCACAATCAACTAATTTAGTGTACAGCACTTTTGAGAACAATCTTGTGTAGTCTGGTTCATAATGGATACCAGATACACCGGAATGAGCTAATTAGTTGCCATTCAAGTCGGTTTCAATTAAATTAATAAGCTACTAAGCCAACCTTGTTTTCCACGTTCCATCTGGATCTGTTCACCTCCTTCGCGGCGCCACGTGATGTTCGGGGCCGGCGATCCGGACGCTGCGCATCTTAGAGAAACATTACTTCCTTCTCGGACGTTCATATCCGTGCTGGTGGGGTAGTCCAGTATGTCAGGAGGCACTGTAAACAATAAACGACATGAGATTAATACTCACAAAAAAAAAAAAGACGGCGGCAAACGAAAGTTAAAGACAGACTGTGAAAACGGCACGAATGTAAGAAGTACCTATAAGTGTAATTCGATTGATTTTGAAAATGTCCCGCACCGTTAGGGTTAAGTAAGGAGAGGGATGAAAAGACAAGAAGACGACGAAGAAATGGCCAAGTTTTAATCCACTCTCCGCGGCCGTCTTCGATAAGTGCATACGCATCATTGAAGCCGTTTTGCCAACTTCATGATTCATTAAATCTTTTGTCACTCACAAACATCCCACGTCGGCTCCGTCAACAATGGAGATTTGCGGGAAGGAATGGGGCAAAAAAGTTTTCACTGCAAGTGTATAATGACAAATCCTCAACCACCCTTTATCCTTCTAGTGCGCGGACGCAACGTGCACCATACTGATAAATTGACTTTGGGACTTTCTTAAGGTTTTTAACAACCCCCCTTGCCGCCGACTTCAATCCGTAAACGTTTATTTTTATTAATTTTATTTTGCTTTTCTTCGCCTACAAACTTGTCACTCAGACTCCACTCGGTGACGCGTTTAATACGATTTTTATTTATATTTTTTATACGTATTATTATAAAGCTGTAACTTAGTTCTTATCCGAATTACTTAGAAAACACATCGGATTGTCAATCTTTTCATTTAACGGTTTATTTTATTTACATAAATATACTTATATATTCGACACCCTGGCATCACGAACTGTTTGGTTTAAATCCTTTTATTTTGTTATTATTATTATTATACGATATAAAAATGTATTCCACGAATTGTTCATGCGTAAATTAATCATAATAGCTGTTACTGTTTATATTTACCGCTGCGTAAACTTTTCGATTTAAACATAATAAAATATTATTATAAAAATATTATCAACGTGATATTTTTACTTTAGAACTAAAATTATCAATTACAATTTGTAATAAAGTAACGGTTTGGCATAGATAATCAGTACTAATAAATCATGTTGTCTATAAAAAAAAATTGTATTTGTTATCCGCTATTTGTATGGCAAACCATATCATGTCGTTTACGTTAGTCGTTAAAAGTTATAAAATAACGGTTATATAATAGCTATTTCTATTGTTTTTTTTAATTCAAATAAACTCTGAATAACAATCGAGATGTCAAAACAACTCCAGTGTTTGAAATCATCATTGAGATATTTAAAACATAAAAAAATCATTTTGTAATGCATCAACTAGGCATAACATTCTTATGCCGGAACGTTGTATAGGCAATTTTAGTACACACCTGTCGATAAACCGTTTTATTTGTATTTTTCTTGCTACACAAGCTTATAATTTGATGATATCTACTTTTTCGCAGAGATTATGGCTTTATTCTTAACCGTTCAAATAATGTTTGCATTATAAAATTGATTTAGACTTTAGAAGATATTAAAATGATTTGAACAAAAATAATCTATACCCGGCGGCAAACATAAATATTCATGATTATAGCTGTTAATGACCTAAGTCAAATGTGTAACTTAAAATTTATATGCAATTTTGCTGAAAACTTAATCATAATACATATTGGATATTCCATGCCAAATGGAAACAAAAAAAATATCTACATATTTATGTAAAATTAATAATAAATCACAAAGTTAGAAATATTTAAAAATCTGAATAAAAATACCTATTTAAAAATATATATACTTATCTTGAGACAAAAAAAAAATTAAGTTTATTTATTTTTTAATTTATTTAATCCTTTTATATTAAAACACATAAGTATCAAAACGAACATGTTAACCTCTTTGATTATGTTACTCAATTTCCCAGGAAAATAAAATCCTATTTGTAAAACTAACATCTATTGAAAAAAAATGGAGAAATCTAATTCGATGATTTAAGAAATTAAAAATAATTTAGCAATATATGAGTTACAAGTACAATTGTGTAATATTTGCCGTCGAATCCTCATTATTCAAGGCATTTAGCTTGAAGTGAGCCACTCATATTTTCAGAGTATACTAGCAGACCATTTATTATATTATAAAATGGCATATAATGTTATGGTACTTTTTTTTTGATATTAAAACATTTTCAAGTATTTATTTCAATGGGTAGTTCTAAGAGAGTTGTGGATTTTTGAAACTTAAATGGTTTAACATATTTACTAACTAATATAATGTCCCGTTTCACCAATTTTTTATATTAAGAACAATATATTGGAAAAGTTGACCGAAGGATGAACAGTTTTGAATAATTATTCATAAAGTTGAACAAAACTATTTTCAAAAAGAAAAACTACAAAATTACAAATATTTCCCGAAAAATCTAGTAGATTAAAATAAATTGATTACCCCTGAATATACAATTTAAAATTTTTAAATAGGTTAATTGTAGAATTTTGTGACAATTTTTTGCCTAACATTGGCTCGTTTCAATGAATTATTAATCTATGATAGCATCGCCTACAAATAATGTTGATAAATTCAGTTTATCAAAAATATCAAACAAAGTGTTATAATTTATGATACTAATTTATTCATACCATCACCACACATGCCACGAGCATTATAATATAAATGACCTCGCCAGTTACCACAGGTATTATGTGTGGCTTATAAAACCAACAACTCTCTTTTTTGGATAGTATTTTACTGAGACTTTTCTCTAATCTCTGCGTACGCCAAAGCTTTCCATACACAACATTAACAGTATTAAGCTGTTGCAACCAAACGAGTGTTTACTGTGTGGCTGTATAAAGAGCACAGCGAGCCACATATAGGCACCATAATTACCGATGCTAGTGTACCCTTATGAGCATACATACACAAAGGTTCCAATAAGATGCAAATGAGAGCATTGTGGCTGGCCGCAAAGGCCTATTTAAAACGGGCAATATAGTGGTAGTAGGAGTGTGAGTTTGTGTGCGTATATATACCGCATAAATATATGCAGTGTACATAGACAGTCAATAAGTCACCGCCGCAATCTCCGAGAGAACGTTTGAAGGGCACAGATTGGCTTTTAAGTCCTTTGAACCCTCTCGTATACACCGCCGCTCGCTTTTCCCAGTCACAAATTATTCTAACCGAATGGACTGCTGGAACTCTAACCAATTACACTCAGCAAGTGCCGAATTGAGACGGGGTACTACCAACCACCTGGCAATGACAGTTTATACATAATTTAGTATAAGCGAGTCATTTATTAGAATACTGTATAATACCTGTGTGTACAGTGTAGTATAGCGGTAGACGAAAGAGGCTGTAACGATATTATATGCTAGCCGAAATCTGTTCCAAATCGATACCGTATAGGTATATTAATTACACGGCAGATAGCGGCTGTGGAACCAAAATGCTTACCTATAATAATATAGTAATTTTATCCTTTACAGAAGTGGCTATCACTTGAGCCTAAATAACTGACCAATGTCTATTGTTGATAAGGTGAAACACTACGTCACAAGCGGTATAATTGTATTTCTAATTAGTTATAACAAATTAGATTTATCGTGTAATTTCAATTTACAATAAATAAGTGTTTTTAATTTTATTAAAATGGATGATGATATTTATAAATTAGAAGTTTTCTAAGGTAAGGTAGCAATCAACAGGTTAGTCAAACAACTCAATAGCGCTCGGTAGATTGAACTACTTGTAAATTGAAAGTATAATAATAATGATGTCATTTTTATATTGTAAACCGTACGGACGGTCAAACTCGTTTATTAACTCGAATATGTACTAGTCAACAACACCATTGACCGTTGCTTGATAAAGGTGAGCTTCGAAAACAATTTTTTTGATATACCGGACCCAAATCAAATATCGAAACTCTTACGGTGTAGTGCACTTGAAATGTTAATATGAAATGCGAACATCACGTAATATGATGTAATAACTGTGGCCCAGTATTCAAAATATGAACTCACAAAATCTCTAGTAGCCAGTGACAGTATAAGAAATAATATAAGTCGTATATGTACAGTGTATAAAATACAAAATGAAATCATTAATACCTAATCCTATAATATTATAGGGCACGTTAGGAAATAAAAACAAATTAATTCAATTAGAAGTTATAACGTTAAAATATAATTTGAAACCAGCGCCTCGTGATAGTAAAATCTTTTTTCCAAATAAAAATGTACAGTCTGTTAGAATAGAATTATGCTTAAAACAAACTCTGTTCGAAGCACCCTTGTGTCATCATTAGTCACAGCGAACAAAACAATAAATTGTTTTATCGTTTTCATTTAAAATAAATATCATAACATTTTAATATTATCATTAAAAAATATCGTATAATAATTTTCACTAGGTAATTTTTTCTTAACGATTGAAATTTCAATCAAAGTTAAAAATACCGTGAAATTACTCGTATTTGTCTAAAAAAAAAAAAAATGAAAGACAATTGAATCCATAAATTGATTAATTGTATATTGGAAATTTTAATTAACTATAGTAATCACATTTATTGGTTGTACCAATAATTAACGAAACGTACATCAAATTAACCAGTTACCGTTATTTTAAGTACTTAACGATTACCTATACAATACTGTTATCGTTGTAATAATCGAAAATATCCAATTTTCGATATACCCAACATTACCGGCAAATGACAATGTTTAATTATAGAATACTATCAAAATATTCGAACTCTAACCGCCCTATTTGAGATTTAGTTAACAAGCTATGCAGTGAAACGGTATTAGCGAACAATAAATGATTATAAAGAAATTGTCCGCTATTAAAAGGTGTTAGTAAATTGATTGACCAATTTATTATTGCCAAAAATCTAAAAAAACAATAGCACAACATAATATACATATATTTATTATTTAATATTGATTATTGCACTAATGATAAAATAATAAAACATACGTATTATTATAATTTATTAATAATTATTATACATAATATATATTAACTTTTTTAATTTATTATTTTAGATTGTGAATTGTTATACATTATAGTTTTTTTAATATAAAATTGCAAATTTTCTTTTTGTCAATTTTCTATTTTTAAATTTAAATAAATATTTATGTTTTCAAGAGTCTCCCGTGTCCCATACTCTTCTTCGTCGCTCATTTCATTTTAGTTTCGAAAAGTTACTAATTCTATAATATTTAGTGAACTATTTACCAATTGTAAATTTTTACCAACAGAAATTGTATCATTGGCATTGTGTTATTTTGTAAAATAAAGTAGATAACATATTGCCAATGAGAGGTTATTATTCCTCTGCTAAGCATGTATTTCTGCGGGAGAATTAGAAGTATCCGGTATTGAGAGCGTGACCGCTAATGAGAGGTGTCCGTTAAGAAAGGTTTCACGCTATATACTTACCGGTTTTATCTTAATTTTTACACCTGATTAGAACAGTTGCATTCGGTTGAACAAAATAAGATGACGCCGGTAAATAATATTGCGTTTTTTAAATCTTTAAGAATTATTAAAAAACAATTAATTTCTTAAAAATTTGGTTGATAATTGACGCATTGAAAATTTGTATAATGCTTGTCTCATACATTTGTTACAAACCTAGTATTCTACGCAACTTAGACTCACCGACAATATCCATAAATCCCAATTGACTTTTCATCGGATCCGTGTTGATTTGGCACATGTACCATCCACGGTCGGACTCTCTTACTTCTCGGATGTGTATGTGCCACGTTCTGTGGTCAGTGTGAGACACGCCTATCCGATGGTTTTTCGTGATCACGTGGTTGTGGATGGTCAATATGGTCTGCGTGTCGACCCGAAGCCAAGCCACCTGCAAGTTAAAAACAATACACATATAAAATCTAGACATTTGACAATAGTAACTAGTAAGTACATCAACTGCACGTCGTGCAAAGATCATGTTAATGTTTCGAGAGACGAACGGCAACCCTTTTTGAATGGAAATGACAAAAAACAATTTTACACCAAGCAAAGCGCGTGAGAGACATTTTCGACGTAAGCCGAGACTTTGCCTTTGGTGGTGGGCGACAGGGGCAGGAGAGAGACGAGATGTATTGGCTGGCTGTTCGGTGAATAATGCATTATTATGTACACGTCTTCGAGGTTAACCGTCATCAGAACATTATGTGTCCTACAATAGGCGGTTACTGATTAATAGCGTGGCGCTTAATCGTGTAGAGCACTTGTAGATCCGTCAAAGTAAGTCGGTGTGTCTATACGCGCGTTCAGTGTGTATATGAATGGCTGGTGGAAAGGAGAATGCATCTGCGGGCGGATGGCATTAACTTGATTTATGTGTGAAATCTATGCAGATTTTGATTGGGCGAGGTGAGGAATATCGTATACACCGTGCTTGACAAGACGCTTAGGAAACCACACCGGGGTACCTATGCCTTAGCATCATTTACGTTTAGTTTAATAATATTAAATAATATATCACACTAGGTTGGATTTAAAAAAAATTAAAATTTTTCCTATATGTAATTAAGACGCGTCGGTGTAATTTTGTAAATTGTTTATTTTATCGAAAAGTGAGATCGGGCGTCTGATGGATAATGTTTATTAATAATATATTCAATGAAAAGGAAGGTACCTCGACTTATCGAGGCAAACCGGATTTTCGTGCTCCGGGGTTATAACGGAAGGAAGATAGAAAGCGATCCCTTTTAATAATAATAATAACAGCACATTAAATGATAACACGTGCGCTAAAATATCGGAACGGTTTTGCTTTAAATACATGTACACGTGTGTTAACAAGAAGTACACTTATTTTATATTTTTTTACAAAATGATGTATCGCACAAAAGTTATCATGTGTATAATATTGTAAGTATCTAATGCCTTTTACAATTTAAAAAATCATTTATTTCATATTATTTGTAAATAAAATACTTTTTAACTTTTTAATTATCAAAATTGCAGATCCCAACACAATAATACCAATAATGTACTATACATTTACTTAAATGTACTATGTGCAAAATTTTATTCAACCTCATGCGAATTTATTATGAAACAAAAAGCAGCAATCAATTGTTTACCAAGAAAATACAGGATATTTTTTTCGTGTTGTCCTAAACAAGTCACTTTTTGACATTTTAAGAATATTACATTATAATTATTGTGAAAAACGAGTTTATACATAATATGGAATTCTGTACATTTTTAAACTTAAGTAGAAAACCGTTTAGTGTCAAATGTTTCTCAACCGAAAAATGTCATTGAATTTATTTGTATACTTATAAAGCCACTCCACGAATCTAAAAATAAGACAACGGTATACCTAAGGGCTAAGGGTTCAATTCAAATGAATGTACTTTTTAATTCCAGAATTTTTTTCTTTATTCCTAGAATGTTTTTAATATCGCGTTGCTTAGCATCTGTAGGTTTTACTTTAACGAAAATTGACTGCTGTGTCGCATACAGGAAAAATTAATTCAGTCATAAATTTATTTTTATTCTAGTTGAAAAAATGAAAAAATAATAAACTGTCTTGATTTGTTTAGTTTATTATTTTCTTTATTGTACTTTTTTCCCGCAAACTCGGAAGTGTTAGCGGCAAAAGCTGCTAGGGTGTTAAATAACACTTTTCACGCATTTACCGTTCGGTACGGTCAGGACTTGTACAGTACACCTCTAAATCCGCCTTCTGTACAGTCGGTGCTAAGGGATCAAGAGGAATAATAATAATAATATATTGTAACGGCGAGTTTGACATTGTAAGTTATAATAATATGTATTTTTCCAAAGAAATAATATAATAATGGCGACCGTAAAATAAGAACCGCGATTTTCAGATTACCGTAAAAAAAAATTGGTCAACGACCGGTTACTCGTGTTTATCGTTATACCAGACAAAAAAACATATGATAACATTGCATAATAACGCCAACAATAAACAGAACCCAATATACAATAGCACTGTATACAGGGTGTCACGGAAAGTTCTACCGAGCTTCAAATGAGACATTTAGGATGCTCTATGGGTACAATAAATGGTATTCATTTTTTTTAATTTTTAAAATTATTTAAAATAGAACTCGTATCTCATTAATAAAATGGCCTTACGAAAAAAATAATTTCAGATTTGAAATTGGGAGAAAAAATCTTGTTGAATTGATATGTAACATGATTTTTTTGGTATCTAGCCACACATGCGTCCACCGAGTAGCCACTAAGTGGCCAGCATATGACCAAAACCAACTTATGAAATGTGACACATCATTTTGGGTTAGAATTGTATTCTCAATTCAGTGGTGTTCTTAGTATTCTTTTATATTAAATTATGTGTCGCATGCCATTTGTTGGTTTTAGTCACATGCCGGCCACTCAGTGGCCACCCTGTGGACGTATGTGTGGCCATATACTAAACAATTATGTTCCATATCAATTCAACAAGATTTCGTCTCCTGATTTCAAATCTGAAATTATTTTTTTCGTAAGACCATTTTTTAATGAGGTATAAGTTCTATTTTAAATAATTTTTAAATTTTTAAAAAATGAATACCATTTACTGTACCCATAGAGCATCCTAAATGTTTCATTTGAAGCTCGGTAGAATTTTCCGTGACACCCTGTACATATATAATAAATGGGCGAGTTTAATGCAATTTAGTTTAGCTGACAATTCCGTTTATTGGCGTTTTTGCTTTTTTATGCTCATAAAAATTATACTAACTTTTTTGTAATGCGAACATATCATCAGAATCATAGTGGATAACATAGAAGTGTTACACATCATATTAATTTCTCAATCAACTAAAGTTTATGTCCATGGTATTGCTACGTAAAGGTAAATCCACGTAGCCGTTTGGAATTAGTTCGTGACAAAAAATGGCTCTCAGTATTAAATATATAAAAAAGCCGCTATTTAATTTTTAAAAACCATATGTCAAAACTAAAATGATGAACATTTGTTAATAACAATAATGATCTATAGCTTATAATTACACTCCGAATACAAGGCAAGAAAATTAACGCTACAAAGAAGAATAGGAAAAGAAAACGTTTAATAATTTATTGAATAATTATGTTTTTTGTTGTCGATCAATATGCGTGTGCAATATTTGGTTTAGAGTCACGCAGTTCATATTTTATTTATTTATATTTTGTTGGTTACACACATTTATAATAACATGTAATAATTTGAGAAAAAATAAATGTTGATATTTCAATAGTATATTACATGGATACCGTCGAATAGGTACATAATTATACGTCATAATGATTCCAAGACGAACGTTCGAATTTGGGGACAAACAAACAAGATATTAAACTTGTATCGTGAATATACGAAATTGGTGCCCCGAATACGAAATTGTGGATAAATGCTTAACAAATATTAAGTAACCGAAAGTTAGGTATAGAGTCAATAAAGGTTACCCTCAGAGCTCTTGTATTCGACCTTTGACATGAAATTTCGGCGACCAAAAAACGACCTTTAATAAGCGGGCAAAAATAAACAACGCCACAACGACAGGTTTTATAATATCCTTTTTTCGGTCTTTTATTTTTTACCGACCAGCTGCGCGTAGGTACAGTTTATTGTATATTAGGTATGACGTTGTTTAATATTATTATGACAACAATACATAGCATTATATAATGTAAATATATATAAATAAACAGCTATAGTCGAAAAGGCGGGAGTAAAAGCCGTTTGAGCGGGAAGAGAAGACGTGGTATTAAAACGCCATTGACCTTTGCAATCATTTCTCTCCCCTTCAATCCTCGGTCGACATTAATTAAAATTTACTACCGCGGTCTAATTACATTTCGCCGAGGCGGTGTACGGCGGTTACTTTTGTGTCCCTATTATCGACACCTGAACGGGAGCAAAAAAAAATAATAATAATAAAAAAGTCTCATTTGCTTAATGGACGCAAAATGAACACCCTATTATTAAGGACACGACCATTTAACCTCGCGATTCGATACTTAAAAACCACGTACACGGTTAATTATTGCGGCTCATTACAAACGCACACCGCCACCGTCTGACGGTGGTAGTCGATGGATATAGGTGTAGTTTACCATCGCCGTAAGTCCAATAACGAAATGACGTTATATATTATTATTATGATGTGTGTGACACATCGTATTGTACACCCGAGTACATTCAGTTAGAGTGAGAATCGCAATACTCAGACGCCTAAGTATAGTCTACGACCCGGTAAGGTACATACTGCCCTCTCTCTTAGATTTCTATGAACACAGTACACACCTATGTGAAATTATAAAACATTGTATTTTTTAATAGAGGCTTGTTATGATCGAGACTGTTATAGAAACTGAAAATAATAGATTTAGTTTCTGTAATGTACTTACTATAGTTACTACTATGCAAATGAATAATAATTAGACTACTTTTCAACCATCGTTCTTATGAGCTATCACTACACCATATTAGTCTCTTATCCGTTTATTTCTACTATTTTTTTCGTATCGATTATCATTCTTATAACTTCATAAAGTTCTTTATAACGCTTTTTATGACGGATCATTATCACCAAAGTATATTTTATATTAAAATATCTTTGTCTCGCGTTATGCTGTGAAAAGAGCCTTTAGTCTGTAATATTGTATATTATGACAAAGGCACGTGTGATTAGTAATAATTTGTATATTTATTAGTAATGCAAAATTATCACTTTCTCGGAGCTCGAAAAATATGCTTGATTAAAATAAAACGGCCCGGTTAAAATTCAGGTTTGCGTTAAATAACGTCAACATTATTAGTACTGATTTTTAATAAAGATAAATTCATACAATTTTTTATAAGAGACATAACAATTAGCCAAACATTAG